TCCCCGAGGAGCAACCTAAGGTAAAGTAACTCGCGTATCACACTGGTCAGGGCGATATACTCAGCCTCTGCCGTGGATAGCGCGATCAGTGGTTGCTTCCGGGCACTCCATGCAACGGGACCTCCGTTCAAAAGGACTACGTACCCGGACATAGAGTGCCGGTGGGGTTGTGATGCCCAGTCCGCATCCACGAAGGCTTCAAGACCTCCGTCCGTCGAACTGAGCGTTAGCTCGAAGTCTCCCGTGCCCTTAAGGTAGTGTAGTGCCCTCTTGGTGGCCTCCCAGTGAGGCCTACCAGGATTGCGCATGAATTGCGACAATGTCGCGACAGGGAATGCTATGTCCGGCCTGGTGCTAGTGGCTGCATACATCAGCGAGCCAATGGCTCGCTGATACGGTACATCGCGCATGGCCTGGATCTCCTGCACCGTGGCAGGTCCCTGGTCAACGGACAAGGTGAGTGTAGGTTCCATCGGCGTCTGTGCACTCTTAGCGTCTCCCATGTAGAAGCGCTCGACGATCGTGTCCACATAGGCTTTCTGGGAGAGTGTCAAGGTACGTGCGCCACGGTCTCGCGTTACCTTTAGCCCTAACAGCCAGTTTAGCTCGCCCAGGTCTGTGATTTCGAAGAATTTACGGAGCTGGGACTTGAAGCGGGTGATGTGGGAGGCCCGGTTGGCAGTAACGGCCATGTCGTCCATTGAGACGGTGATGACGACGTGCTCGTCCGGTGCACGTCTGTAGTAGACTGCCTGGTCCACCTTGGACCGGGCGAAACCTATCTTCGCAAAAACTCCTGCTAACTCCTCAGCCCACTCAAAACCGGCCTGCTTCAAACCAGGTAAGCTCCTTCGCAGCTGCAACACTTTTCCTCGCTGACTCTCCGTGAGGTAGCCGGGTGGCGCGCGCATGTAAATCTCCTCCTGGATACTCGCATAGAGGTACGCACTTTTTATGTCGACTTGGTGGATTTCCCAGTCGTTCTGAGCCGCCATCGTCAATACAGCGCGTATGGTGCTCATGTTGGCTGTGGGCGCGAACGTGTCGAAGTAGTCGACACCGAACTGCTGCTTCTGGCCGTTGGCAACGAGTCGTGCCCGCAGTTTGAGTTTTTCACCGTCGGGTCCACGTTTCGTGGCCAACACGAAATGGCAGGGGATGAGGTTAGCGCCGCGAGGTAAGTCTACTACTTCCCACGTCCCCAACTTCTCAAGCTGACTTATCTCGTAATCAACAGCTTCCTGCCACTCTACTCCATCTGGTCCGTTTAACGCCTGTTGCAAGGTGGGCTCTGGTTGGGCGACTGCCAAGGCAAGGTGAAGGTGAGTTTCTTCATCCAATAAATCTACCTCTGACGCTTCCAACAGGTTCTCCATCGCTATGGCCGCTGCATTGCTGCCTTCGTTCAGGCTAGCATAGTAGCCCGGAGGAGGTCTGGCCCTCGTCGTCCTTGGAGGAGTAGATGGTTGAGGTTGCTGCTCGGTAGATGGTTGAGGTTGCTGAGGAGTAGATGGTTGAGGTTGCTGGGCGGTAGATGGTTGAGGTTGCTGTTGCGTGGTAGTGGTGATGGGCTGGACGCTATGAGGTGAGTTATTATTACCGTTGCCGCTGTTATGTTCGTTAACAGCAGTAGGCTCCCCCTCGTCCAGTGCATCCACCAGGATCTCTGCCGGTGCAAAGGTGAGGTTCCTCTCCACCGATACACGGCGTTTCCCCGGCCAGTACACTCTATAACCCTTGCTTTCAGCGTCTACCCCCACAAAGATTGCCTCCTCTGCCTTCGGCTCCAACTTCCCAGCATCCAGCACGTGGACGAAGACTTTCGCCCCGAACTCATGGGCTCGCGACAAGTCCGGCTTGGACTTGCGTACGAGCTCGTATGGCGTAGTGCCGGGGGTCGACCTTGATGGTAAGCGGTTTTTCAACCAAGTTGCATAGTTGACCGCCTCTGCCCACAGGTACTTAGGGAGATCCCTCCCTATCAGCATGGCCCTAGCATGTTCAACGAGGGTCCGGTTCAGGCGTTCGGCCACGCCATTCTGCTGAGGTGAGTCGTGGACGGTTAACTGACGCTCGATACCCTGCTGACGGAGGTACAGGTCGAACTCGGCGCTGAGATATTCTCCCCCTCTGTCCGAACGGACCTTGCGCAGCTTAACTCCCGGCATCTGACGTGCCAACCAGGCTTCATAGGCCTTAAACGCTGTAAGTGCCTCGCTCTTCAATTTGAGGAACTGAACTTTAGTCTGCCGGCTGTAGTCGTCCGTGAACGTGACGTAGTACAGGCACCCGGCGATGCTTGCCGTTTGGGCAGGGCCCCATAGATCAGTGTGCACGAGCTCACCATAGGTAAGTGCGCGGCTCGTGCTTTCCTCTGGGAAGGGCTTCCTCGTTGACTTAGCTTGCACACAGGCTTCGCAAAATTCGGCTTTCGATGCGTCATCCAGTTCTAGGCCGGTGACTAGGCCCTTCCGGATTGCATCAGCGGCTGCAGTCTGGGACACGTGGCCCAGTACTTTGTGGGCGCTGCTGACGGTAAGCTTCCCTTTTGCGATGTTGGCATGATGCTGACGTTGTTGTCCTCCTGCGACACTATACAGGCCTTCAACCTGGGGGATCTCTGCAATGACCTTCCGGTCTGGCCCTTTCGACAGGAGCTTGCACATCCTGCCCTCGAACAGCACGGCTAGGCCAGCCGCTGCGATACGATTCGTGGAAATTAGCGTAAAGGCCATTTTCGGTGCGTAGAGTGCGTTTTTTAATGTGACCTTTGTGCGTTTCTCACCGAGCGGTAGCTCCAGGTGCACATCTCCACGGCCAATCGCACTCAAGCTCGAACCGTCGGCTGTGCGAACGTCTTGGGGAGGGATGCTCACGAAGTTCGTGAACTTCGCCCTATCAGGGCAAAAATGAGAGGTCGCGCCCGAATCTACGATTGCGCCTCGTTTCTCGACAGGTACGTTCAGCTCGCCTGCCACGCTCGCCAAATCTGACGTAACGAAGGTGTACTGGTCGTCGTGGGCTTCTGGCTGTGTGGCCGAGTTAGCAGCCTGCTTGGGTGCTTTCTCGGCCTTCCTTTTCTGCTGGTTAGGGCCTTGCCCTTCCTTACCACCCCCCGGACGCCAGCAGTCCGTTTTATAGTGGCCCTTCCTGTCGCAATTGAAACAGGTGACCTCCGGATTCGTTTTGGGGGTGCCGGCTGATGCTCTGCCCTTCCCCTTAGCTTCTCTAGCAGATAGGGCGGAGCCTGAAGCTCCCTTCTTGTTGGGACGGCATTCGGTGAGTAGGCGATGCTCGTACTCTTCTGTGATGATGCTGATTAACTCGTAGGAGGTGAGGGGACTCTTAGTTATCCTAGCTGCTGCGCTGATGGACGATAGGAGGGGCCGGTACGACTCCGGGAGCGAGCCTAGAATAATGGCGTGGAAGTCGTTATCGACGATAGCCGCGCCCATTCCTGCCAGCGACTCACGGAGCCTTATGAGCTCTGCAAAATGGCCCTTGATGTCGCCTCCTTCCTCACAGCGTGTCTCTTGCAACCGACGCCGTAAGTCTATTTGCACGAGTTCAGTCTTACCCTCATAAATCTGACAAATCTCATTCCAGATCTCGGATGCCTCCCCAAGCTTCTGGACGCGCAGTAACAGCCGATCGGTGATCGTGCTGAATATCTGCTGCTTTACGAGTGAGTTTTTCTGGTGGTACTCGTCGATCTTCTTATCAAGCTCGTCTATTTCAGTCTGCGTCGGCGTCGAACCGTCAGGCTTCTTTACGGCCTTGGTGTTCGGATCGATGACGAAGGGAATAGGTTCGCAGACGCGTCCATCGGTATATCGCATCAAACCTCGGGCTCCAATAGCCGTTAGCGTTCGTTCTTTGTAAGTAATCCAATTTGAGCCGTCTTCTGCGAGCTTCGGGATATTGAACAGGCTGGAGTTTGTACCGGGGAGCGTAGGTTCCATGATGGAGGCAGGGCTCATAACCTAAAGGCGTTTATGACGAGCAAGAGGTCACGAGGAGTTAGAACGACAAAGACAAGATCTCAGTTGTCTCAAACGAAAACTCTCTTATAACGGTGCGTCTACCTAGAACGACAAAGACAAGCTATAACTAACATTAGACGCGTTGTAAACTCTAGGGACTTGTTGGCACGTACATCTCAGTTGTCTCGAACGAAAACTGAGATGCACCTGCGGTACTGCTGGTAATCTTATAGTAAGTTGGTCAGGTACTGGAACATATGAATGAGAGACTGAAAATAAACTAGGACGCGAGCCGACGTCATACGTCGCTCGTCTTCGTCCGTTTTGGCGCGCGCTCAAACCATTCTCCCCTTATCACTCGGATCCTTCGGACTCTCTCGACTCGGATCTCCCCCTGGCCTCGGATCTCTCGGTCTCGTACTCCAACACTGCCCGGCCGTCCACATAACGCATCAAACCTCTTGCTCCAATGGCCGTTAACGTACGTTCTTTGTATGTTATCCAGTTTGTGCCGTCTTCGGCTAACTTGGGAACGTTGAACAGGCTCGAACTGGTAGCGGGGAGCGTTGTGTCCATGACCGGGGCAGGGCTCATAACCTATTGAGAGTATAGCAGGGCGTTCACGCGAGGCTAGACAGGTAAGATCTCAGTATTCGGATTACGAATCTCTTTATTGACAAGTGTTTTTACCTAGACAGGTAAGCTACGGTATACGTTAGTACTTGTACTCAAACGTTACATTAGAAGACTTACATCTCAGTATTCGGATTACGAATCTGAGATGTTTTGATGGTGGATGGCTGCTTTTATATGGTGAGTGCGCCAGCTGGCCTTTTGATGAAAACATATACTAAAGGAATAAAAAAAGATAGCCGACATTGACACGTCGTCTGGAATCTCCGTTTGGTGGCGCTCGCACCTCGAGCTGCCTTACTCTTCGGCCGTAGTCCCATATCCTCCTCTATCGGCCTTTCCGTCCTCAGGTTCTTCGGCTCTCAACAGCTCTTATTGAAGCCAATGCACCCCACAAGGCCTACCAAGTCGATGATCAATCTTGCCGATAAATCAGAGCGATTCAAGTCCCTCAAAGTGGATTCCATTGGCAAGGTATGTGTGATAACACCCTGCATGTTATTGCAGATAAATATAATATCACATAGGTGCCAGCTGTGGCATGCGGGGGACCCAAAACCTCATCCACGTCTTTATGTTGAAATTGTCATTGTTTCTGTCTTCAAGGACATCGCCCAGCTTAACCCCCTCTTCCACGACCAAATTACCAACTTCTCTATCGACCAGGTTGCATCCAATGTCTTTGATGAGCCCAACAAGCTCACTGACTTTGCAGCCGCTGTATCCTCTTATGAGGAACTTCTTGAGAGTCTTCTGAAGGTTAGTTCGTGCTGCTCATAGTCGCGCTTATATGTCTTTCAGCCAACAACCTTGTCATGATCCGAGCACTTTTCCTTGACCGCATGGGGGCCCTTGAAGTCAGTCAGCAGTTATGTTTCTGAGAAGTGCATTATTGCCGAAAAGTACCTTGGACCACAGGCAAAGGAAGCATCAGGGCTGAAGGACGCTGATGTTCTTGTCGAGCCCTTCGCTGTCAATGTGCTCATCAAGTATCACTGCCAAGAAAGCAGCATACGGAGTTTGAAACTTTGAAGAAGCATGTTGACAAGGTGGGACTTGCGCCAGTGGTATCATTTGCATTGCTCATGGGGTGCTGTAGATATTCCGAAAGGCTGCATTGAAGCTCATCCTCAACCTTGGCTAACTCGTCTTCCATGAACCCCACCTGCCCCATCTAGTCAGATGCTCAACCCAAGGTGCGGATGCATTTTCCGTGCAAGGTCTTCGCTGATGTGACTAACCTTGCTTAGTTAGGTCACACACTACAAGCGTGCCTACAGACAGCCCCCTCGCATCCTCGGGGGAGGCGCAGTTGTAGCCATCAGATTTGTAGATGTGGTTGTGTTTTGTGCTCGGGGTACGTTTTTGTCTCCGCCTGCCATAACCCAGCGAACAACTCTGACCGCTCCCAGGATAGACTCCCTACCAGGATCGCCTCACCCTCAAAGCCCCCAACACAGATCAGATACTTGGCCTCCGTGTACTCCTACCAACCCAACCACTGATGCACTCTTCTCCTGCAGAACAGGAACAAGGAGAAGAAGCTGGGCACGAAGATGTATTCATACCAATAGCGGGGGTCCTCATACGTGCTCGGGTGGATTTTGGGAGGGTCAAAACATTCGATGAGGCATAAGGTGCTGCATTAGCTAGCAGTAAAGATAGAAAATCACATGAACTATCTAGGATCTCGACCAACCTGGCCTCTTACTAGGCACACTATGTTCCTTCACCATCTCCAGGTCGCCAGTGTTGATTGAAGTGATGTGTTTTTGGATTTCGACTTGTTCATAGTTAGTGAAACCACATACGCAGGTATATTTGAAGTCCCTCTGGCGATATATGCGAACTGGGTTTCTTGACCATGGAAATGTAACCGTAAAGCCAAAGGTGTGCCACTGGGGAAAGTTTGTTTCCCTTTTCTTTTGCTCAAGGAAATGATTCCTCAACGATGTGTCAATGTCATCAATATAATCATCGCACTGGGGACAGTACACCTTTTTAACTGCCAGTGGGATATTGCCATGCTAGATATGGAATAGCAGTAAGCAAATTATCCTAGTGCAGATTCTAGTGGAATACATTACCAGGGGAGCGGGGGACAGGCTGGTACTAGGACCATTTCTGGGTCGCTTTGAAGGACGTTCAGACTCTTCCATAGAAACTGAGTTGTTGATCTTGTGGACGTTAGTTAAATTTTAATATAAGATATTGCTAGCTTACCTCCGATTCCCAAGAAGTCTGGTTGGTATCAGCAAATGTCCGTTTTGTGGCCAGTCCTGTAGCCATGCTAAAGGAGTTGCTAGGAGGAAGGGAAGACCTAGTAGCAGGCACACCACCACTAGAGGGAAGCGATTGATGTGAAGCTGTGCTGGGGAGGACTTCTGGTGTCATTTGAGTCTGAGACATCCAGGCTGATGCGAGAGTCTTGATAGATGATTCCTTCTTCTGCGTAAAGGCTTCCTGCAGTAAGAGAGCCTCAGCTTCATCTGGGGGGTTCTTCTTGAAGCCTAGTAATTCATGCCACAGATCGCTAAATGACATCGTTCGGTGAACAAGTGGATTTGTCATTTGCGGATGATCTTGATGACCTCGGGCATACATGCGGTTACCAGTTTCTGCAGTATGTCCTAGTTGTGCATGCAGAATATCGCTTGAGGCATTGTCAAGGAACTCTGAGATGTGGTAATGCTCAGCAATTCCTGGAAGTACGTGCCTCAGGGCATTCATTCCTAGACTGACATTGCCAGGAAGATGTTTGGCAGATAGGCGCTGAAGAATGCTTGAAAGACGGCGAGATGTCCATCGCTGACCCTTACTAGAGAGGAAGTAGCACTGATAGTGGGCGTCCTCCCCAAGCAACAGTACTGCTCTGACTGCCCAAGCTTCGATGGTAGCGACTGATGCCTGAAATCTTCGAAGAACGAATTCCATGGGTCGAGGTAAAAAATGTAAGGTCAATTTGTCGTTGCCAGTGTTGCGAGATGATTTGTTGTAATCCCCAATGCATGCCAAGCGTTGAAACAAATACATGAAGTTTCGCCTTCTGAAACTAGTGTCGACTAGTTTCAACCGAATCTCTTCAGAGCCACGTTTCGGCATTCCAGAAATCTGGTGGAACAGAAAGTAGAAATGCTCCTTGAAAGCATCAATATCCTCTAGGTATTCTTCCCATGCTGCTGCGTCAGGCAGAAGCTTGCCGTCTGAACCCTGGCTGAAATATTTGTTACGAAGGGTATCGTCATTCATAATGACCTTAATGGGAATCCAACACGCATCCATTTCTGACACCAAGACCCCTGCTCCCATGACCTGCACATGAGGCATATCCACGATGTCTTTGGGATTCTTGAGCGGTTGGAGCATAGCGTCACTGGCACCAAACAGGAGTCGCTGGTGGAGTATGGTGACCATGTCCCTATAGACGGCATGATACATTTTGATAACGGATATGACCGACAACCTTTTCCCATCAAACACAAATTCTGGACTGTGAGCCGCAGTAAATTGAAGGCGAGGGAGAGATATATGGCTTCGGCATAAGTTATAACATAGCCTGGTGTATCGGCGAACTGAACAAAATGGAGTTCCGGTCCCAGGTTTGATCCACTTTTGCATAGTGTCTATGAATGCCCTGAAATTAAGAACCATCAATGATTGGACTTGTCTCATAGTTTGGTACATACTGGTATGGATCCGGCATCTTGATGACCTGGGTCAACATAGAAAATAAGGCTGCATACACCACTTTAGCAAGGTGGCTAGATATCAAATGAGGAGGCATGAAGCGGCCGTAAGTGTTGATGCTGATGGACATGGCAAATGCGTCTACTAGTGAATGGAGAGGACCCAGCTGTCCGCCATCAACTTGAGTAGTGAATATGGCCAGGACCATCTGATGATATGCCTGCAGAAGAGATTTTTGGGATAATTGAGAGTCTGGCCTTTGAAAGCAGTCTCTCAACTTCTTGGCGAACCTAAGGAGAGCGGGATGCAGAACCACTGGATAATTGGACTTAAGGCCATCATCCTCTACTGCCATAGTAGTTAAGGGCATGACTGGTCCATCATCTCTAGATGAGGTGTTCCCTGACCTCCTGTCAGCGTCATCACTATTATCAGCATTTTCTCTATCCTCACCTTTGTAACCTTCATCTAGATCATTACTCTCATCCCAGTCACCATACACATCAGCATCCTCGTCAGGTTCATCAAAGTCATCAACCTCATCCTCCTGGTCCTCATCCTCCTGGTCCTCGTCCTGCTCATCCTCATCCTGCTCATCCTCATCCTCCTCATCCTCATCCTCCTTGTCCTCATCCTCTTCGTCCTCATCCTCCTTGTCCTGCTCATCATCATCCTCATCCTCCTCGTCATCATTCTCATCCATGAGATTGCTGTCCATACCAGTTTGCGGAAGCATGAGAGCACGTAGTACCATTAGTACAAGTCTATCACAATAGTGGCCGTATGCGGCTACAGACTCTGTTTCCTGCAATACCTGAAATGGCCGGCTTCCACCAGTGTAAGTAAAGTGTAGGATATGAAACACCTCTGAATACATACAAGCGAGTGCGCCAAGATGTCAGTGCTTCCAGGACCCGGGGATCCACTCCAGATACAGAACGTATGGATGAAAAATACTTTTTTCCCAACCCTTTCACCCGAGAAAACCAAGGAGGGTCACCCTCCTGAGTATTAGCTTCGGACATCCGCCTCAATTCTGTCATAGAAAAACCTTCCATAGCGTCCGCCCATCCCGTGTTGACTAGAAATGGCGCCAGGTCATCAGGTCCAGAACCAACGGTTGTCCGGGCATCTACAAATGCTCCATTCATATATTCAGCTGGGAGCGATGAATAGAAAGCTACAAATGGATTATTTGGGCCAGCATTTCGCAGAATTGGATGTACCATGAAGTAATGTTTTCCCTGGAAGAGGCACTGCACTGGAACTGACGGATCCTCCCTGGAGATATAGGGCGCTTTGCCAGGGTGTGACCGATGGCCATGAGTTTTAATGCTGGCCATAACTTTTGCTGCGTAAGAGCAATGTTGGCATTTAAAGCCTGGTTCGTGGTCACGCAACCAAGGTAGGGGCGGTAATAATCGTGCAGGTAAGACTGGTAGTGGGTCGCAAGATGCCACAGCCTGGAGCCTCTTGCTGGCTTCCATTACAGCTTCCTCAAGCTGCGACTTCTGGAATGAGCGTGGCAGAAGTTTTTTGTGATTCCTCCAGACATGCCCCGCAATGTGGTCTGAAAAGATAGCGCAACGACAACGGCTGCATACCATAAGCTTGAGGTTGGGTTGAAACGTGATCATGAGCCTCAACGTATCAAATTCTGGGATGTTCACCGTACAACAGAGATCATCACTGCTATCCATTGAACCTTCTGCGCCCAGCATGTCAGGCTCAGCATGTGTCCGTTCTGCAGCTGGTACTGGTGGGAGTGAGGCTTTTGGGTCTCCGCTGTGTTGGGGTGGCGGCACACATGAATGGGAGGGAGGGAGGCAGCCTGTCGTGCCATGTGGCAGTTGTGAGGGTGGGTGTAAGTGGGCTCGGCGCATAGATAGCTCATCCTCAGCACCTGTATGGGAACCTTCTGTACCATTGGGCAGGCGGCTGGGCACCTCAGCTGGTATAAACGCCTGGGTCTTCTCCATGGACGCTTCAGTTGGGTCTGTGTTGGGGGATCCTTGGTTCAGGACATTTGCCAAGCAGGCAGTTGTAGAGCCCGCACTGCCAGATCTGTCATTTGGCGTGCAAACAGATAGGTCAAGGTTTTCTGCCGCATCATTTTTGGGCTGTGCAGGCAAGCTCCCCGATGGAAGCAACTGAGCCTCACGGCTTGCTATATACTGGCCCATCGCACCATCAGAGGGGCTGCTGGATGGTGCAGCCTCGACGACAGCCTGCGAAGCAACACATCTATCGTAAACACATGTAGCACAAATAGGATTGAGAAAATACGCACTGATGGCTGATGGGAAGCTTGTTTCCCTGGGGCAGTCAAAAAGTTATTGCTGATATATTGTCCCAAGTCAGGAGGCGAGAGGGAGAGGGCTTCTTTATAGATGCTGCTGGGTGTTGCACCGTCCTCAGGTCCGCAACATTTAGCAGAGCGACAATGTTCACGAACTCGGTCGATAGATCCTGAATAGCGACAATTTCTGTAAAGAAATGCGCAGCAGTGCACGCCATTGAGAACTGGAATTGGCCAATCACCATCCGAATGTTTCTTTGGTGACAACAGGCACAGCTTCCTGTGAGTGTTTCGGGGATGCTTCGACTCTTTGTACGGTATGTCAGTATTGCAATAGGTACAGGTCCATGTCAGCATGGTGGATGAAATTTGGGATAAACAGTAGAGCTGCTAGGAAGGGAATGCGTTCAAAAGAGCCCAACCAATATTATAATTAAAAGTGAAATTTGGCGTGTGGATGCCGGCACTCACACCGCCTTGGCCCTTGGATCAGATGGTCTCACGCAAGAGGCTAGTGAATTGCCACATCAGGATGATCGTTAAGGCTAGCTGCTGCACCAAGAAGAAATGTGTCATGCAGGATGGGAGATCCGGGGAAAATATTGATGTCAACTACTCCCTATTCCTTTCGGCCGTGGAATAGGGAGGTTTTGGACTAGCTGGTGACCTCTGCCGTGGACTGAAAGATGACATAATCCTGAACTTCTATTCCTGCAGATGGCTGCCAAGTCTGAATTCCAAGGCAGAGCTAAGTATGTATGATTGTGAATATTCCGACTGTTTTCCGGTTGGAATGTGCGCCAGGATGGAATGTCGGGCCTGATGCTGAAGGAATGAAATGGACCGGAGGCTTGACGACGTGAGTCATCTTCGAGAATCCCTGTATTTTATCTGAGGCAGCCGATGCAGACACCCTGTATTCCCGTGTGTATTCACCCCTCGCCACACGAAGGAAAGGGTATCGCAGTTGATCAAAATGCAATCCTAAGGGCTGTGCGGATATGGTTCTGGGGTGAATACATGTATTACCCTTGGTTTTAGTGTCATTGGCTTTCGTTATCCGTCAGCATATTCGAGTTTGCTCCAGATTTATTATGGGACATGGGAAGAGGCCTGCCACCTGCCCAATAGAAGTCAAATGTAAGGCGAGTCTGTTGGATGGAGAAGTGATATTGCAGTAAGCTATATACATGCGTTCGAAGGAGTAACGCGGTAATAGGCTGGAGTAGCTGCTAGATACGAAAAACAACGGTATTCATGGGATAGACAGTCAGATTCGAGCACTGGAAAGCACGGACTGCTCGACTTGATGTGATGGGATACATTCTGGAAGCTGCAAAGACAAGAGTTGGACGCATGTATGCACTGCAGATGTACATACTGTTAAGGACAGCGGGTATGACAATACAGGTGAGTGCATCACGGCGATGGAGGCGTGGGCACGAACAGCCTTAGATGTCCTGGGCATCTATTAAAATGAGGCAAGCAGTGAAGCACCATAAAACGCACCATACACCCTCCGCAGCTTAGAGAAAGACATAATCCCTCCAAAGTTTAGCCTTGTCCGTATTCCATACCATCAACATCCAGTAAAATGTCGAAGGCCATTATGATCACCACTCCTCTGCGATGGTTCAAAGGCCATGAAGGACGCATAACCGCAGTCGCAGTTGTCCTTGATAAACGTCGGATGGTTACGGGCTCGGTCGACAAGACACTTTATCTGTGGGACTTGAAGACAGGTGTTGCATTGAAGAAGATGGAAGGGCATCGCAATCTGGTATGGGGTTTGGCGGTAGCACAAGATGAGCAATTGATAGCAAGCAGTGACAATGGTGGAGAGGTCATCGTCTAGCATGGAGAAACTGGTGAATTACTCACCAAAATCGAAGCACACTCCAATTGGATCACCTCGCTGAATTTTCCTCCCGATGGAACAGTGCTGGCCACTGGTGCATATTATGAAAAAATGACGAAACTGTGGAATACCAAAACCTGGGAGCTGCAAGGAGATCCGATCGAGTGTCACAGGGCTATGTTCACTGTGTACAGTATTCACCGTCTGAAGAACTTCTTGCCATCCTAACAGACGGGCTCAGGTATTTTGCCGCGTCACTGCCGCACCACACCCGAAACATACATTTAACGCTCATTTTCGACAACTACTCTAGTCATACACAAGATAATTGACCAAGTAGTGATACTCGTCGGACTCATCGACTATGCGCCTCTCGGACATGACTTTGAGAGGCCGAATTTAGACTCTGGACGTGTTGGGCGTGTTGCGGCACGGATGCGGCAGCAGTGAGTCCTAGTAATATCGTACGAGATAATGACTTTCAGACTCCTTGGTATACTCGAACAGCGAATGTTCGAACTCTCGTTGGCCGCAGGTGCTGCAGAGAATGAACAACGGGGAAAAGACGCTGGCACGCGCCAAGACCGATGGAACCCATATTCATTCTCGACCGTCACGTTAAACAATCCTTGCTTGACAGCGCTGATGATATAGTCATGCGCAGATAGATCAATCATAGCTGTTCTGATGTTGTCTGCATTGTGTTGAGGAAGATTCCATGATGACATCGGGTGAAAAACTGACCGAAGTCCAGGATACGAGAGAATGCGTAAGCCGCAAGCAAACAGTTCTTCCGGTGTTTTAAACGATTGATCAATGTCACAGCGACACCTTCCTCAATTGCTTTAAGTCGTAATGTATGCTGAAAAAAGCTAAGCAGCAGAAGAGATGTTATCATATAAGAAACTCACGGTGCCAGAGAATTGACAACATCGCGAGAATAGCCCCACTACTTGTTTCGTGCTTTCGACTTTTCATCAGCGACACCAATTTCTCAATGAATCCTCTTTGAATCAAGTCAGTCTGGACGTCAACTGGAGGTCTGCTAGTCAGGCGCTATATATGAATGCAAATGCATATGTCGTACTATGGCTCGCAAGTTGGCCGAGGATTTGGATAGCAGGATCCTCAGTTAAGCGATGTTCCAACATGTCGACCAAAAGTGCGATAAAACCACATCCTGGGTCGAATAAACGATCACGGAAGATGTCTGTATCATACTATGAGCTCATCAGTCTCACGACAGCGACATGCGAAACTTACCGTGTCTTGCATACGCACATATAACATTGCCCACCGGTGGTGAGATGTAAAAGTTGTGTTGCTTCAAATGTTTGATAAGCGTAAACGAGAAAATAATCGGGCCAGATTAGAGAAGGAATAGAACCTATAATAGGACAGTAACATGTAAGAATGTGCATGAATGAGAAGGAGGTTACTTACCGAATGACTCATCATCGTGATCGAGTAGCTCATCCCACGACGTTTGGAGCTTCCCTATGACCTCTCCGCTGCCTAGCATTCGGCCAAGCTCATAGGATTCCCTGATTTCCACTGATAGTACAGGTGAGGCATGTGATGATCTATAAACCGAACATCAGTTCTCGCATCGTGCAGGATAGTCTGTGAGGACTTTACAGGGTTATGGTATCCTCCCACGCTACAGATTCATCAGATGATAAGACGCTGATGGCCGATTTCCAACGTCTCCGGGAGTTAGGGTTGATGGATACATAGATGTCAGCTGGAATGCGCCCCGAAGGAACTTTAAAATTCTTTCCGCTGATGACTGTAGATAGACGGTAAGGGTCAAGAAAGAGACACGAAGGCAATATAGAGTGACTCACTTTCAAGTTTGATGTATCGGCTTTCCAAGCTGCCAAACATAACCGTGCGATGAAGAAAAATGACGAAAATCGAGGATGGGTCAATTGAATGGATAGGAGGGGAAGACGATCCTAGCAGGAGCACGAAGAAGACCGGTCAACGATAACCTTCACTTTGATGGCGGCGCCAGGGCTGTGTGGACGAGTAGGCCATCTTTGAACACGAGCTTGCCAGTGGCAAAATCAGAAACGTATGAGCCGAGGTATTCCTGCACATCAGCGTGCTCATAGTTGTTGATACGGATAAAGCGGCGGCCGGTTCTGCGAGCGAGGTATTCAACTGCACTCGTCTTGCCGCCGAGGTGGGACCCTCAATTAGCACGGGGAAACGTCGAGTTAAGACGATTCTTGCGAGGTCGACGAGCTCAACTAATGATGGCACAATATATTCCTCTACGGGATCCTCGGGGAGTGGTCCCTTCTCTAGATGAAATGGTCCAAACTTGATGAATTCTTCTACAGACCGCCCAGGTTCCCTGGCAAGCAAAGATCGAGGATTGCGGACACCAGCAAGGATGTGCTTCTGTGCAAGGGCAGTCACAGCTTCGGCGCTTGTAAATGCCATCAACATCCCCTCCCAAAGCGCCCGTCGCAACCCGAACAATCCTGCAATATCTGCAGCAAACGTCAGGGCTCTCGCTAGCGTGCGCATACTGTAATGTGGCTTCTTGTTTGAGCCGTCTGCAAGTTCTGCACCTTGACAGAGATACGAAACTCTGCAACATCCATCACGGCACCTTTATCACCAACCGCACTTGTTCCAATGTACTGCGAAAAAATGCTGAGAAGAGTCTCGCGATCTGCATCGGAGGGAGGAACATCAATTTCTGTGAAGCGCGCACGGATGGTAGGCGGGAGGTCATCCTTGCCGGCGTCAGTGGGGGGCTTCATGCATGCGAAAAGACGGAAACCGGGATGTCGTGGGACAGCAAATAGGGAGCCTTGCTCAGTAAGCGTGATTGAGGCTGTTGGACCGCGCAGGAGGCCTGTAATACATCCTAGCGTCTCGGGACTTGTCAGGTTAATCTCGTCAAGGAGAACCCTGGAAAACATGATATAAAAAGCGTAACCGTGTGTAGCTCAACTGCAACGTACCAATCGCCAGCGCGCAGAGCCTTCACAAGTAAACCCTCCACAAAGTCAAACGTGAATTCGCCTTTCCCTTGTGCGTGTTGAAGGTCAAATTCATCCACATCCTTCGGAAACCGTTCCCAGTCCGCTCCAGAGACCTTCATCTCGGCCTCGACTTTCCTTCGTTTCCTCGTTGCGTCAGGGTCGTTCTCCCTAAGAAGTGGGATCAGAAATAGAGCAAACCAAATTAAAATAAATACATACCCTACATCTCCTTCAACCTTGCCTCGAATTCTCTCCCTTGCCATGTTCCCACTCTCCTTCCACACACCAACAGCCCTCCTCTTCCACTAGGCAACTCTGGGTCAACGGGAGGAGCGGGTTTCACGGTGTCATCTGTCGGTGCGGTCTCAGACACACCGAGTGATCGCCTGAGCACTCTATCCACACGAGTCAAGAACCTGCGTGGTGTTACTGTGAGACATTGTTGCATCAATTTGCCAGGACCTACAAGTTGGAGTCGGCAACTTCAAACCCGGAACGAACAAGAGCCCCGTCGATTAGGATGGAAGCAACTTCTTTAAGTTGAGCCTCAGAATTCGCCATCTGCATTCAATTGCTCGACATGTTCAAGGAGGCCTTCGATCAACGGCGATCGCGGATTAATTTCCAGGACTTTCTGCTTCTTCATATAGTCTTGCATGGCATCGTTCTGCTGGGCACCGCGGCTTGTGGCACCTGCAAATTTTTACCGAGTTTGAACCAGCACTGCCAAGTCATTAGTTGAAACGCATTCATGAGCTTTTGGATATTTGCTGTGAAACCCATGCTGTCTGCGACAATCGCACAAGGACTCGTGACGAGCCTATTAGAGACGATCACTGACGAATATGCACCTCAGGCCAAAATGTCATATGATCGTAAAATGAGTACTCACCATTCTTAACATTGTCTCCAGCCTCAATTTTCAGCCACTCCAGGAGGGGAGCGTATTTGTCTGTCAATTCCGCAATTGTATCCTTTTCCTCTGGGGTGTCTGTGTGCGGATGAGAATAACGAAGACCCTCGCGTTGATGGGGATTTACCATCTCCAAAGTCCGGTCCAGCCTTGCAACGTCCTGAAATGGAACCCCATCAGTAAGATAATCTTTCAATCGTGCGAGGCGTCAGTAACTTACTTCCAATTCCGGATGCTTTAAAGCATAATCTCGTCCAAAGGCTCGTTCAGAAGCAGTACTTCGTACCCGCGGGCATGCAACTTTTCTACGAACACGCTTTGAGACAGGTGCTCGATGGATTTACCCATGTCGGCGAGGTAGAAAATCTGCATTATGTTTAAACCACGTCACTCCATTTCTTCTCAATACCACTCACCTGCTTTTGCCCTTGCTTCCTGTTCTCCAAATACTGGGATGCGTGCAATTTAAAAATATGCCCCCGAATGATAATAATGATAGTCACTAACCGAGTCAAACGATACGACTTCCCGTTGGTTTGTGTTAAAGCGTACAAGAGCTGCTAGTTTCTGGCGGTTTTTACTGTCCTCTGACGCGGCGAGTTTCAGAGCTGGATGAGACGTCGTAAAATAATTTGCTTGATCTGCTTGAGGAAAGAGCTGGACTGGAGGGTTTCGCGAGAGACATTCAATGGAAGATCATCGGCTAGATGTTAGATATACAAGTTAACACAAATTCTGGGTCGAACCAAACCAATTTACCGTCAATAATAACTTTCACCCAGCTAGCCCATTTCGGCAAGCCATATTCGCCGGTCGGAGGTGATGAACGCGTGCTTCACTAGCAGCCTGACGTCCTTTGCTGAATTATCAAGCGGTTTGTTGAAAAACTCTTCAGACCTTGAAAGACATAGGTGAGAAGCACATAATAATAATCATGACTACTCACAAACGCGAAGGAATGTAAATGAGTGCACGGAAAGATACGCCTGATTCTGGGTCACCAGGGAAATGGTGCCATGCAAGGGGTTTCTGAAAGTCTTTGAAGGTTCCTTGCGACGTCGTCTTCTGGTTCTTCTTCGACAGGCAGCGACTTATCAGGAGTTCGGGTCTTCATAGCCTGTAGAGGAGGAGTGTTGCTGGAAAGCTTGCTGACCGCAGGCGGCGTCGCACGAGCATTGTCGGCGGTAGCAACTTTCCGCGCAGCGAGCGGCGGACTGGGAAGCCTAAGCGAGTAACTTTCATTAGGCAGGCGTCGGCAGTTTTGCCGAAACATTGTCACATGACCGGGAAAACGTGGCACTTTTTCCTCGACAGATTACGTAAGTCGAGGAAAAAGTGCCACGTTTTCCCCATCGCGTGACGGCATCCAGAACCTTCGTAAACCGTTTCTCTTCCAAACCTACTCATGGGGCATCTTGGCTCGCTTGTCTCTGGCAACATCGGATCTTCGGACTCATACGCCCCCTTCATGCATCCTTTTACGATTCAGACTTCCTCACCAAAACGTCGCTGAGCCAGGACGTCTTCGTTGATGCATCGGCAGTACATGGAGATCTTCGCGATTCGCTTCAACGTCTGCTCCTTGGAAAATTCATCCTTGCCCAACTTGTCTGTCACTGACTTGGACATACGAGTCAAGGAACCCATTTCGGCGGAGCTATCATACTCATGTCGATTCTGGGGGACTCATGCCAGCTCTACATCCTTCGAATCGTCGCTCGCCAAGGAAGTTGAAGCTTTGTCGATGGAGAGCGCCTTCTTTGGTGGTTGGAAGCATCGGCTCTGATGAAAGGCATTGGCGGCTCGGTAGTGACTCTCTTATTTATTACAGACTGGTTTCCGGTGCGTAGCTCAATTTCATTTTTCTTCGACTATTCTTATGGGCAGCGGGGTGGTCGTAGGGTCGTGCCGAGTTCACGCATGTCAGTGACGGATACCACATTCACTACGCCGACACTTCTTCGAAGGAGAACTTGACAACTGGTGTATTGCGATATGGTAAGCCAACAATTCGCATGGTCTTTCCGCTATGCGTCTCACTCAGTTATTCCTGTGACTTATTGGAAACTCTAGACGAGGGGTCTTTCTTCACCACATCTCCAGCAGCGACACCCTCCCTCATGCCTACGCCCACATTCTCTCAGGCTACTCCCTACATATCAAGCCCTGCCTCTGCTACTGAAGCGACATCGAACCCTCCGGCACATCCTCCTGAGGCACCCGCTGAAGAGCCTGCACCCCCTCTTCTACCGTCTACCACCAAGACAGAAATGTTTTTGTTGACTGCTGCAGATCAGGAGTCAGGCACTCGGGATGAACGACTGAGTCGCGTTATTCAGAGCAAATATGAGGCAGGTCTGCTCAAACCGTATGATCATGTCAAGGGCTATGCACGACTGTCAAGGTGGATGAATCGCAAGTAAGTCGTTGTCTTCTTGTTCTTGTTGAGACATTGATTTGACTCGAACACCTGTTTATCTTCAGTGTTTCTCGACAATCGAAGCGGCAAATTCTGCAACCGTTGTCGGTGCTGCGACCCACATTCCGAGTGAGCGATGATCTTTTACGATATTTACTAACGTTGCTGATCATACTTAGGCTGTTGCGCAGTCCCTACGCGATATCGTGAGCTTGAGTCCTTACTGATGCAGTTTTGCGATCGACCATGTTACAAGGACCTCATTTTCATAGAAGAAGCTTTTGAGCGATTGCTTCTTCATTCCAACCATGTCTTCTCAGCCATGAATGCCCCGGCGTGTCTCTGGCGCCGAATGGGTGAGGTCTATAAAGGAAATCGCGAGTTTCCAGAACTCATAGGTGTCGATGAACATATGATGCGAGGCGTAAGCTGTCTCGATGTGACTATGAATGCTTGCAAGGACTTATGTCTTCTATGTAGGGCCACCTTTGTATCTACGAGCTTATTGTAGAAGAGTCGGCAGTCAATTATCTCGTGTTTTGAGCTTCTCAGCGGACGCTGATGGTGCCGCGACCATGTCCTGCTCTCAGGAAGTGCGTGATCTCGTGTTTCGAGCTTCTTAGCGGACGCTGATGGTGCTACGGTCATGTCCCGCTCTCAGTATGTGCGTGATCACGTCTCCTCAATTTGTTGCCGCTTGTTGACCCCAACACGACCAGGAAGTGTTTTTACGCCTTGCTCGTGAGACTCCGGGCATGTCTCCCGGACCAGGTGATGTCCCGTATGCATATAGTATGTGATCTTGTCTTTTGGGATGAATGCGAACACTAACTCTTTCATTGCACCAATAGACGGTGCGTGCCTCTACATATAGCTGTTTTAGAACGTGTCTTTGTACTGATTACATGTAGCACATTATGGTTCTAGCGGCATTGAGGAGATTGAGTATGATAGTGATGAGGGGGATGAAACGCAAGAATGTTCGGGGTATGGAACGGAAGAAGACCAAGAAGACGGAACGGAAGAAACCTCAGAATATGGAACGGCAGAAAGCTCAGACGATTTTCCTATGTAGCAGCAGAGGATGTCGGACAGATGTGGTTGTTGCGTAGTCAAGTGATGTAATTATTAAATCGTGTCACATGGGGTGTTCTTTGGGTGATACCTCAACGCTGCCTACGACGGAGGAATAGCGCCCAACCAAAATTTCTCTCATGAGAAAACGAGAATCATAAGCCTGCATAGGATCCTGCTTGCCATAACAAGCCACATGCACCCAGGGTGTTCCCTTGCAAGGCTTTGAGTGCGGCTGCGTCCGCAGGAATAGTGGTATGGTTGGCCGTCGCAGGGACGAGCTTATGAATCCCCAATAGCGCCTCACCTTTCCCTGCGCCCGGTTGTCCTTGTCCAATGCACTCACAGGACGGAGTGACACGATTATTCATTACATGTCTAGACCTGACCGGGGCCGAAACTGTCGGTGTGTACGAGCAGATGTCTAACAGCGATCTGGGTTCGTTCGACACGTGTGAGCTGCGTGGAGAGGGGATAGCTATGAAGCTGCTGTTGGGCACAGCCAGATTCGAGAGTGGGATTGTAATTTCACGTCCAACTGGAAGACGTTGACGACGGGTCGTATGATCTCGTCCCACACAAGATGACTGTTAGATCATTGTGCGACTCCTTTGGGCCTATGATAGATGCGTGTCGTATCGCCCTGGCGAAGCTATCCTTGAGATTGTTCAGATCTGTGGGAGTGAGAGACGACAAAGGAACATGATGAGGGTCTGGGTCTCCTGACGTCGAGCGATGATGGCATTGCACGAGTATTGACCTGAAATAAGACTGCGCCCTTGCGCGCTGCCGCTTGCAGGTCTTCGTACGAAGCAGCTTCCCTCGGGGCACAGAGACATGGCTTCATGAGCAAGTTGTGTGCTCATATTGAGCATCGATATGCCGTGCTGCTCAAAGCTTCAACTGCTTGCGCAAACTCGCCGAGGGCAGTACCGATCTTTTTTGTTTCTTTGTGCAATCATCTTTGATCTGGGCCATGTCCATGTGTACGTTTGATTAGAATTTTACGAGCTGGGTTCCTGGCAGGGTTATACGAGCGCATCAGGCTTCTTTTCTTCCGTCATTTTTAAATGCATTAAATCTAGCAGGTGAGGAACTGGTGTCCCGGTCCACATTCTCGTGAACACGTCCCTAGAGCTGCTTGCGGTATCGCGTACCCGCTGCATCAGTAACGGGTAATCTGACTATCTACCATGTAAGTATGCCAGTATAGAAACACCCTAACTCACGTTATTCCCTCTGGACCTCCCCCGTCCAGTGATTTACGTGCCCTATTCACTCGGAAGCGCCTGTCCAAGATAGGTGTCGGGCAGCACGGGGCGCGAGTGTAAAAGGGGATAGTCAGTTCGAAGTCAGAACAGAAAAGTCGGAGCTCGAAGCGATAGAAGTGATGTATTTATTTTTAGGGTGATTCTTTAGCAAGGTGCGGTAAACGGACGTCGCGGAAGTATCCGTCCTCTTCTTTGACGGCGAGCTTGCCTCTTCGAGAACGTCTGGGAATTGGCCTCTTCCTTGTTTCGAACACGTTTGGTGGTCGTGCGATTAGAATTATCCTTGTGTCTGAGCACGCGAACAGTTGTCCCGCCCACGTTTGAAGAGATGAAGCTCGATGGAGTCCCAACAGCGGCGAAGACTGATACGACAAACCGCACGCATGGCACTGAAGATAGTGGCTGTGCCACGGTGAGGATGGTTGCTCCCGCGGCCAAGAGGAGTGTAAAAGGAGAATGCCGAACATAGGGCTCAATATTGGTCAGCTTGTAAACCTTAAATATACAGCCACTGAACTTTCAAAACATAGGTTCTGAGTTCCTCGATAGCGGCATCAAAACTTTACCAAATCGTTTGCGGAAGACTGAAGGGGGGTGTTTATACTACTTTAAAACATATCTAGATAGTTGAATCAATGAAAAACATATGTTGAAGGGCGCTGCTCACTCAGATACAGTATTTTGGATGTCATGTGTGAAATCACGTGACTTTTGATATCATTAAGTCGCGTCTCTTATTACAACTCATATGCCCTCTCTGTCCTGTCGGCACACCGACTGTCATTTTCAAAGACACGCTCTTGTTTATTATGTATTCTAACACTTGTCCATCGCATGCAGGCCGGTTCCCATTAATTTACGACACTTCAGCATCCAGCATCAGTAACGACTCAAATGAAACTTCGCAACACGGATCAAATCGCACGTCTTCTCATGATTCCCATATATCCGGACACTCTCGCAGTCCCACCATAGATTTTCAAGTACAATTACACCCTGATGATTTGGATGGGTACTATTCAGTTTCTTATACTTCGCCTGATACACTATCCGATCGCTGGGATTCTGATGGTAGATGTGATTCCCAAGAGTCAGAACCCCCGCATATACCATCAATCGCCCTACCTCCGGACTTCGACATTGATGCGGCACTCAAATTAAATACTGCCGAGGCGCTGCATGATGTATTCAGGGCAAATGGCCTCGAGGTTGATGGCAGTGGTCCGAAATGGACCCTTCGTTGTCCTGACTGCAAGGTATGGTGCCAGACCAGCATACCCTCAGGCCTTATGCTTTGGCATGAAGGCCAATTCAGCTCCTTGGTCAGCCATCGAGGCAGCGAGCGGTGCATTCACGTTCGATCGTTATTTCAGTCCGATAGTACCGACTCCGACTTGGACCTGGACCCTTTGAATTTCTCAGATTCCGAGACTCAACCGTTACGCGCCGAAGCCGAGGAACCTTCTATTGATATTCCCACAGAGCTCAGACTAAACACACCCGATTCGCTCCTTAAGGTGTTTACGCCCGGACACCTGGCTGTTGGCATCAGCGATCGGTCACACTGGACCCTTCAATGCCCTGACTGCGACGGATGGTGCCAGACAAGTGTCTCATCTGACATCCCTCTCTTTGCACCTGATCAGTTCAAAGCGTTCAGCAACCACCGGGGAAGCAAAAAGTGTCTGCGTGCAGCAGCTGTTAAAAGGCAGACGGTATCAAGCAACGTGCCTGATGGGAATGAGGCTTCAGCTTCTCAGCCTATTCTATCAGATCATCGGTACGTTTCATTTTGATTCTAATCATTACATCACACTGATCAATTTATATCAGACTTTCTCGTTCAACATCCCCTCGTCCAGTTACTACTATCTGTACTGGTATCCCTGTCCTCTGGCCGGAGGACCTTCGACCATTCGTTATGCTCTTCCCATGGGAACGATACCACGATGGCCCAGATGCATTACCCTTCCTTGTTGATAGCAGTAATCCCCATCTGCCTCGTGTCCGATCAAAAATTGCCCGTGGCTGCCCTCCAATCCATTTACCAGATTCGACCAAACTGCTTCGTTTCAAAGGGTAACGACTTACCATAATGTCTGCAGCCTACATCCAACTTCCTCAAGGTATAAATCTTCAAAATTACATGTATTCCCGCTCTACTCCCGCTGGTGTCTCTTCATCGGGTACGTCCCACTCGCAGCAGCACAAGCATCATCGACTAATGAAACTGCTATTGATAGCATTGGACTTGCCTCATATATATACTCCCTTGACGCCTCCACGACTTATGCATACCTCACATTCGCGACTTCATTCTTCGGTAAACACAGCCTCATCAGTTCCATCACCGTCGCACAGTCCCTCATCGGTAATATCTCCTTATCCCACCCTATTCATTCACTCATCTTTCCCAGTTGCTGTTGGTAAACCCGTAATTGCGAAAGTCGCCGATGTTTCTTCCTGAGGCACAGCCTATGTCGGCGTCTGTGAGTGCGTGCTGTACCCTTCAAGCGCCTATCTGACATCACCCTCCTAGTGATCTTTTACGTTCTCGGTACGTCCTTTACATGAACTCACCCACAACTGATACCAAGCCACCACTAGGCTACGCCGTGATAGCCTCAGCCCCCAACGTCAGCACCATAGCCGGGGGCATCATTCTATACGCCGTGTACGTCCCAATCCTCACCTCCTTGTTCTATTTTTACCCATCCCTCTAGTGGATACACGTGAGCATGGGTCATAACCACATCTGTTCCAGCCTTTAATCTACTTGGCTCAGCGGATTACAGCTGCTCACACAGATCATCATCGCCGATATCACAACCCTCGCATGGCGCGGCCTAGTCGTCTCCCTTGTCTCAGCACCCTTCCTCGTCAACGCGTTCATCGGGTCAAACATATCCTCGGCAGTCATCGAGCATATCGGCTGGCGATGGGGCTGTAAGTCATGCCTATCATCTCACATTGAGGTCTTCTCAACGCAACGTGATGCACAGACGGCATGTTCGCCATCCTTGTCCCCATCTCCCTCGCGCCCCTCATCATCACCCTCCTCTGGGCAGAACGCAAAGCTAAAAAGCTCGCCCTCCTCGACTCCACCAAACCACGCACCCGCAGCGTCTCCGTCTCAAGTCCCCCAAGCCTCAAACACGAATCCACACTCGCCCGCTTCCTCCGCTCCGCAGAACAGCTCGACTTCGTGGGACTCGTTCTTCTCGGGTTTGCGGTTTCGCTCACTTTGCTTCCGTTGACGATTAGTCAGACTGTGAATGGACAGCGGAAGAATGGTTCGTTCTTGACGTTTGGATTTGGATTTGAGAAAGGTGGGGTTGATTGACTGGTGTGCAGGCTCGATCATCGCCATGCTCGCAATGGGAGTCGTCCTCCTCGCCGTATTCGCAGTATGGGATCTCCGCTATGCCACCATGCCCGTGATCGCCCCGCGGTTCGTGAGGAACAGAAGTGTCGTATGTGCAGCGTGTATAGGCTTTTTTGACTTTGTGAGTGTCCAGCCTCATTCATCATATCAGCGAAGCTGATCGTGCGGTGTTACAGATGTATTCATTCGTCCTAGTGGTGAAACCCTGGTATCCCTCTTTCAATCTGTGCATAAGACCTCGCGCTGACATAGCCCGGAAGGTCCATCGTGAACGCGACATACTTCATCCAGACCCAATCCGTCGCACTGACATTCTTTGGCATCCTCGCAGGCCTCAGCATGCGTTTCCTCCATCGGTACAAGGTACGTCTCTCACCCCCCACTCCACTCCAGCCCAGCTCACCGGTACATCAGTACGTCCTCGTAATCGGACTCGTCATCCGCCTAGCGTAAGTCCCCCCTCCCTCCCCCCCTCCCCGACGCACTAGAGCCTTGTCAATGTGCCCAGTTGCTTTGCGCTTATGCTAGCACCGGCGGGGCATGATGCATGATGTCGAATCTAAACGGGCCTCCATCTCCTTATCCATCCGCTGCAGTCGGACGCGCGCTCCTCCTTGAAATTTGAAATGCACGTTCACCGTCATTTTCTTTTGCTCATGATCTGATGATCGTCTCTTACATAATGACGTTGAGTAGACAAGGGGCGGGCCAGGTTAAGAGACCCCTAACATAAGAATAGGGATATTTAATCGCGGGAATTTTGGCAATTAGGGGCCAATAATCTTTCTTCTCGACCGCTCCGTGCAAAATCCATTACACCATCAGAATCAATTCACGCGCTCGGTAGGTTTACTAAATTTAATTGAAGGCCACTAACAATTAGATTTCAAGTCTATAATTATGTCCAAACCACGTACTGCTATTCAATCCAACGGTCTGGAGCCCAAAGACCTCCCAAAAGACCCTTTGTTCTACGATGGAGACTCAGATGCTGAAACCCCAATACAATCGCCGAGAAGAGAACTCGAGTGTTACACTCTCAGCGGCTCCAGGGGTCCAAGTCCTGGGGGTCCCGGATTTTTACTCAACATAGACCCAGAGATTCATCGCGCGGATATTGAGCGCTTCGCGAAGTCAGGGTTTGATGAACAAATTAATAACCTTGCAATCACTTCAGGGTTTCAGGTTGATTTGATTCAAGGGGTCTATAAACAGGTCACCTGTTTCAAACGGTTGAAGAAGGTTATCAAAGCTATGCAAACCTCCGCCTTGGACCGCGCGCAAGCTGAAATTGAGGCTCAAGATTTGAAAGATATGCTCTCTCGCACCTGGTCGGCGTGAGCCAGAGAGGCAGGGATATCAGTCCGAATCGAAAGTTTACGAGCAATCTGATCCTTATACAAATGTATACGTAGTCTACTCAACATCATTAAGAACGAATATTTTGAACGCGACTCGAGTCAGAATAGCGCGATACACATTCATACACAAGCTGGGGTAGTTTCGAATGGCACGCTGCAGTCGGAAAGTATAAGACATGCCTGGACCTGCAGCAGCTTGGACTTACCAAACATCAGTACTCCACCCCCGACTCCCTTCCAGCCTGCTCACAGGTCAAGGACTTCCTTCTCGGTACGCGCAAGTTGATAATCAGTGCCGCCGTGCTTCTGTACAATTTCCTTAACGATCCTGGCAGTCTCTGCGATCGAAGCAGACGTTGGACGTTGGAATTTAAAGAAGAGAGAGCCCTGTTCAGGATATTTGCGCTGAGATGCACCACATAAATTTATAGATCGCATGAATTCGGAGTCGCAGAGTTCAACGCATTCTGGGTCCTGGGGTGAGCGTGCTGCTTGATGTGGAAGGGATAACCTACAGATGCCAACGCTGCCGTTGATTACGTCGATGACGGCCTCCGTTGCGCGCTTCACATCAGGGAAGTATACGATGGCAACTGTTGTTGGCAGGACAGGAGCTCGCCGGATGGTGACCAAAAGAAGTGTTACTGCGATCGACAAGAGCAAACTACGTGATATCTATCACCTTCTGTGATGATACCAAGAGTGCCCTCGGCACCGATGAACAACTTGAACTTCGTGGCGTCGAACCCAGCTGCAGATTTCCGAGCACTTTGGCGAGTTTTGATGACTTCTCCAGAAGGAAGAACAACCGTCTATGGAGGTATCCAATCAACCAACTCATATATTGTCAAGGAAATCGACGCATACCGCATTCAAGAACCATTCGCCATTCGCAGTACCGTACCGGACGGCATTCGCTGCCAAGGTCAATACGTCAATAACAGTGTCGCCAATTTATGACTTCTGATACGTACTGCCTGAGCAACCTGAGCTCATCATACCACCGATAGTTGCGCCTGGGCCGGGATCCAACTAAGTAAAGATTGTCGTTGAACGATACAGCACCGATGGTTGAACGTATGGGAAAGAATAATGATATACCTTCCAAGGATGTGAGTTACACGACGAAATGTGCGTTGCGATCATACCTTGGCGCTGCAATGTTTTATTAATTTCGATCCATCCGACACCGGGCTGACAGACAAGATCGGAGTCCGCCTCTATTTTAGAAGAATATGAAACGATTCGAAGAATGGTTCGATGTCGCTTCAGTAGCAGAGGCAGGGCTTGATATGTAGGGAGTAGCCTGAGAGAATGTGGGCGTAGGCATGAGGGAGGGTGTCGCTGCTGGAGATGTGGTGAAGAAAGACCCCTCGTCTAGAGTTTCCAATAAGTCACAGGAATAACTGAGTGAGACGCATAGCGGAAAGACCATGCGAATTGTTGGCTTACCATATCGCAATACACCAGTTGTCAAGTTCTCCTTCGAAGAAGTGTCGGCGTAGTGAATGTGGTATCCGTCACTGACATGCGTGAACTCGGCACGACCCTACGACCACCCCGCTGCCCATAAGAATAGTCGAAGAAAAATGAAATTGAGCTACGCACCGGAAACCAGTCTGTAATAAATAAGAGAGTCACTACCGAGCCGCCAATGCCTTTCATCAGAGCCGATGCTTCCAACCACCAAAGAAGGCGCTCTCCATCGACAAAGCTTCAACTTCCTTGGCGAGCGACGATTCGAAGGATGTAGAGCTGGCATGAGTCCCCCAGAATCGACATGAGTATGATAGCTCCGCCGAAATGGGTTCCTTGACTCGTATGTCCAAGTCAGTGACAGACAAGTTGGGCAAGGATGAATTTTCCAAGGAGCAGACGTTGAAGCGAATCGCGAAGATCTCCATGTACTGCCGATGCATCAACGAAGACGTCCTGGCTCAGCGACGTTTTGGTGAGGAAGTCTGAATCGTAAAAGGATGCATGAAGGGGGCGTATGAGTCCGAAGATCCGATGTTGCCAGAGACAAGCGAGCCAAGATGCCCCATGAGTAGGTTTGGAAGAGAAACGGTTTACGAAGGTTCTGGATGCCGTCACGCGATGGGGAAAACGTGGCACTTTTTCCTCGACTTACGTAATCTGTCGAGGAAAAAGTGCCACGTTTTCCCGGTCATGTGACAATGTTTCGGCAAAACTGCCGACGCCTGCCTAATGAAAGTTACTCGCTTAGGCTTCCCAGTCCGCCGCTCGCTGCGCGGAAAGTTGCTACCGCCGACAATGCTCGTGCGACGCCGCCTGCGGTCAGCAAGCTTTCCAGCAACACTCCTCCTCTACAGGCTATGAAGACCCGAACTCCTGATAAGTCGCTGCCTGTCGAAGAAGAACCAGAAGACGACGTCGCAAGGAACCTTCAAAGACTTTCAGAAACCCCTTGCATGGCACCATTTCCCTGGTGACCCAGAATCAGGCGTATCTTTCCGTGCACTCATTTACATTCCTTCGCGTTTGTGAGTAGTCATGATTATTATTATGTGCTTCTCACCTATGTCTTTCAAGGTCTGAAGAGTTTTTCAACAAACCGCTTGATAATTCAGCAAAGGACGTCAGGCTGCTAGTGAAGCACGCGTTCATCACCTCCGACCGGCGAATATGGCTTGCCGAAATGGGCTAGCTGGGTGAAAGTTATTATTGACGGTAAATTGGTTTGGTTCGACCCAGAATTTGTGTTAACTTGTATATCTAACATCTAGCCGATGATCTTCCATTGAATGTCTCTCGCGAAACCCTCCAGTCCAGCTCTTTCCTCAAGCAGATCAAGCAAATTATTTTACGACGTCTCATCCAGCTCTGAAACTCGCCGCGTCAGAGGACAGTAAAAACCGCCAGAAACTAGCAGCTCTTGTACGCTTTAACACAAACCAACGGGAAGTCGTATCGTTTGACTCGGTTAGTGACTATCATTATTATCATTCGGGGGCATATTTTTAAATTGCACGCATCCCAGTATTTGGAGAACAGGAAGCAAGGGCAAAAGCAGGTGAGTGGTATTGAGAAGAAATGGAGTGACGTGGTTTAAACATAATGCAGATTTTCTACCTCGCCGACATGGGTAAATCCATCGAGCACCTGTCTCAAAGCGTGTTCGTAGAAAAGTTGCATGCCCGCGGGTACGAAGTACTGCTTCTGAACGAGCCTTTGGACGAGATTATGCTTTAAAGCATCCGGAATTGGAAGTAAGTTACTGACGCCTCGCACGATTGAAAGATTATCTTACTGATGGGGTTCCATTTCAGGACGTTGCAAGGCTGGACCGGACTTTGGAGATGGTAAATCCCCATCAACGCGAGGGTCTTCGTTATTCTCATCCGCACACAGACACCCCAGAGGAAAAGGATACAATTGCGGAATTGACAGACAAATACGCTCCCCTCCTGGAGTGGCTGAAAATTGAGGCTGGAGACAATGTTAAGAATGGTGAGTACTCATTTTACGATCATATGACATTTTGGCCTGAGGTGCATATTCGTCAGTGATCGTCTCTAATAGGCTCGTCACGAGTCCTTGTGCGATTGTCGCAGACAGCATGGGTTTCACAGCAAATATCCAAAAGCTCATGAATGCGTTTCAACTAATGACTTGGCAGTGCTGGTTCAAACTCGGTAAAAATTTGCAGGTGCCACAAGCCGCGGTGCCCAGCAGAACGATGCCATGCAAGACTATATGAAGAAGCAGAAAGTCCTGGAAATTAATCCGCGATCGCCGTTGATCGAAGGCCTCCTTGAACATGTCGAGCAATTGAATGCAGATGGCGAATTCTGAGGCTCAACTTAAAGAAGTTGCTTCCATCCTAATCGACGGGGCTCTTGTTCGTTCCGGGTTTGAAGTTGCCGACTCCAACTTGTAGGTCCTGGCAAATTGATGCAACAATGTCTCACAGTAACACCACGCAGGTTCTTGACTCGTGTGGATAGAGTGCTCAGGCGATCACTCGGTGTGTCTGAGACCGCACCGACAGATGACACCGTGAAACCCGCTCCTCCCGTTGACCCAGAGTTGCCTAGTGACATACCCGTGGATGATGAGAAGATGTTCTTCAATCTTCCTGATGAAATAAAAAACAATCAGATTGAACTCGAGATGGAGGACATCGATGAAGATGGAAATGTTGTTCACGATGAGCTGTGATATTGCAGTAGATCTTGTAGTGGCAGGCTGGTCAATAATAAAATTTAACCATCGTGAATTTCAGTGTTCATCGACGTTGGAAGAACCAGCTCAATTGCTGAAACATAACAAAGCTGCGACAACTGACTCGACTACTAGTATCAAATGTATTTTCAAGGAATGAATGTTCTTTTCCCACTGAATCGCCACTAATTGATTCCTCAGTTTCCAGAGTTTTTGTTGTCATTCGTTCACAGCCCAACCAAAACCTTCTCCAGCCCCTCCAGCCCCTCCAAAACCTATCTTGCCATGACCCTCACGACCGTATCCTTATCCACAGCTGCAATATACTCCAACACCGTGTGAGCACGTCTCATAAAATCCCGTGGTAGCGGTCCCCCTTCAGATGACATAAACGCGCCTGTTTGCCCGCTATATATGCCCCTGATTTGGACACCGCTCCAGGAGCCGCCACCGCGTTCATACACCTCCTGAGTAAGCACCCGCGTGAGAAGTGCGAGAAAGTGTAGCGCCGCGCGTCTGAGTGTTGGAACTTTGGAGGATGCGCTCGAAGGGGATATGTCTAGCGGGTCTGGAGGACGTTCGGGTTGGGATCGGGGTGTTGAAACAGGTTCGTGTTCTGCTTGTTCCGTGCTTACGTCTGCGTCCGCCTCCACACCTTCTCGTTTACCTTAGCTGTGGGACGAGGAGTGGGAGTAGCCACAGTCATCTCGACCAACACCAAGTCCAGCATCCCCTCTGCTATTCCATCAGTGTATCGTTCCACCACTCCCGCACAGGTGTTGAGACATTCGGAGAGCAGGGAAATCGCTGACGTGCGTAAGATAACCGGTGCACGGGGCTCACGGAGGAGGGAAAGGAGAGGCGGAAGGAGCGTGTCCGCTTCATTAACACGGCGAGAGATGACAAGATGAGTGAGAATAGGATGGAGAGGTCGGATAAAACTCACCACATAGCACAAGGGCGTCTCCACAGCGCCTCACAACAATCGCGAGGGCTTCGCCGATACGAAGACGTGTGTCAACCTCACTCATTCGTTTTCGATTGCGCTCGATGATGGCACTGAGTGGGTGGATGAAGACGAAGATGAAAAGGATGACTTGGAGTATCATCTGAACAACGTCAACAACATCGAGAAGAGACGGAGGAGATGGGATACGCGGTGGGAGGCTCTGCAGCAGGCGGTGGGATGGAGTCCAGGGATGTAAAGGACTAGCCAATCACGAGCGTTGCAACACTGTAAGGCTTGCAGGAGAAGGAAACTCTTTCCACAACCCTTGGGTCCGGCTGAAAAGATGTCAGTGGAAACCGTGACAAGTATAGTAGAAGCGTACTAAAAACAATCCTAGATCCAGAGTCTTGTTTCAGAGCGTGAATTCAGAGTACCGCAGATTCAGAGCGTCAGTAATTCATTACCTAATAATCTGAGCCGCAGACGAGAATGATTTCGAGCCCCTAAGAATTTCGTTGGAACCCTTTGCTACAGCGCAGATGTCTAGCATAACGAGTCAAGTAATTCAAAGCAGAAGCCTTACAGAGGACGGGGGTATGTGCTGTTTCCTACCTCTCTATATCAATCTCACTTTCTCCTCAAAGAGGGCGTCAAATTCCCAGACATGCACGCCCTGTCGGAGGATGAACTGGCAGTGCTGATGTATGGAATCCCGCGGCGCAACGCGTTGCCCCACGAGCCACAATGGGATCCGAACAATGCATTAAAGTGGCCTGTGGATTTACAGCCATCATCCCTGTGCAAACCTCCTGAGGATGCTGCCCTACCACCCGATGCTGTAGACCCCCCTGACATGCGGTGCTATCCACAGGCCCCGCCCTATACACTAAACCCACTGCCCGACAATCGATTTAGACGCCGCTATAGGTATGCTACAGCTTACTATCCTCGTGATGCACCGCATCTCCGTGACCGATACTGCAAAATTACCATACCACCCAACATCTCTCAGCCCCAGTTTGTCAATGGCAAAGCCGCCCTAGAGCCAGTTCCTGGAATGGTGAAAATGGTACCAGGTATTCCCTACGTCTACGAGGTTTGTGGGGACCCTGCAAAGATCGTCACTGTGGGCTGTGCCCATACTCTGGAATCTCTCCAGGCCTATCCAGAGCACGCTAGTATACACCAGCTTGTGGATAAACTTCAACTCCTGACTTGGGGGGACAAAGGCTCAGCACCCAGCATTCGTGCGGTCTACCAGTTGCCTGAGTTTAAACGCAACGACCGATCATCAAAACCCCAGGAAGGCTCTCACGAAGGCTCTTACAATCTCGCCAGTACGGTCATCAAGGGACAGGGACAGGGCACCCTAGCTCCTGCTGTGCAGACAGACACGCAGGAAGCTCGCCATCAAATCGGCAGCATTCTAAAGATACTTCATGACCTGTATGCCCTCATTCTGCCCCTGAGCATTTCTGCGGATGAGTGGGATGTACTAGAGTACGTCATGGCAGAGCATAATGTGTTCACTTTTGGAGAAGGTGGGGTAGGCCCAGTAGGCTGCCAGCTTAATATCTCCTCCATGGATTCTGGAGGTGCTCTTATCAAAGCTATTGGCGGTGCTCAGGGATCTTGGCACGTTGATGCTGGAGATGATCCGATGACTCATACTTTGGTGACAATGCTGCTGCGAATTCCACCAGGTTTGTGCTTATGAATTTTAACGGTCAGCCAATTAATTATCCCTCCTGCTAGGTAGTGATCCTGGTGCATTTTGTCTGGGTCGCCCAGGCCTTTATGTCCGAGAAATTGACACCCTAGTCATCTTTCTAGTGTTCAAGGGAAATGACATTCATTCAGGATGTGCTCCCTGCCTGGACCCCAGTGGCCCAGGTAATCAACTTTATAGCGGGTTTGAGGTATGGGAAAATGCTTTTGGTCCCCAACTCCAGAAGCCATGGAACCTCGCAGGTGCAGAGAACCGTGCAGTATATGTGTCTTATATTCCTCGGGCAGCCTTCCGACGCACATCCCGCTGCAGTATGTATAGTGGCAGGGATATTGTGTTTGGCAATGCCTGTGATCCAGTTGCGGGAGCATCAGAGAGGACTGAGCCCCAGAATTATGTCGATCATGGCAGGACTATCCTGGGCAGCAGTTATGATGAACGTATAACCAGGGAGAGTATGATGCAGGCCTGGAATATGAACATCAGGGCAAGAATTCCTCCATCACAATTCTCTGCCTGGCTATCTACCCACACACCTCCCCCCAACAATGGACCACAGAAGTTCTCCATGCCTCTTTATCGCCTACATGAGATCGAGAATTTAAAGCTGCAGAGGGCGAAATATTATTATATGCAGCATCTGATTGACGAAGAATACTGCATCACATTATGCAAGCAGGACCTTTGGCAATTTCGATCTCAGGTATCCAAGGAACCTGCAGTTCCTCCCAAGCGAGGTCGGATTGCCATACCAGCCCACAAGACTCAGAGCATCCCCATCAGTGGACAGCAGGCAGATGACACTCAGACTACTTCACCTTCAAAGCGCAAGAATAAGTCCCAACATCGCATTCAGAAGAAGAGGAGATTGGATCATGAGTCATCTGATTCAGAGTCTATTGGTGACAACGAGCCTGAGAATGATGCAGAGAAGAGCTTTGAAGTTGAGAATATTGTTGACTCAATGTCAGTGGAGGTAAATCATCTAGATACTATACACTTGCCTTTGAAGCTGACAGAACAACAGGATGGTCCCATATTATATCGTATACGCTGGAAAGGCTTTGGACCTGAAGATGACTGCTACTTTGCAGAAAGTGAATTACAGTGAGTTAGGAGTCTTGGGTACTTAAAATTGCAACTGGTTGATGAACTTATTGCAGAGACTGCTCAGATATTCTGACGACCTACAAAGAAAATCTCACACAGGAGCGTTGCTCTAGTGAGAAGAAAACTTTTATTTCACTTGACCAGGGATCAACAGAACTACGGACTCTCACTCACACAATTAATCAAAGCTGTCTGGAAACTGCAGCCAGCAGTACACGATTTGCAAATACTCGCATGCAGACTGTCAAATCTTTTGGTGCAGCATCCTCTCAAGATGCCATTAAGGCACTGTCTCACAATGCCCACCTTGACCATCAGATGGCAGGTCTCCGACTCGACGTCTGGAAAGACGAGACAGCTCAAATGATTATCAATCATGCCCACAAAGCAGCTGCCAGTATTTCTGCATTACTCAGAGAGACAGACCAGCATGAGCTGCTGTTGAGGGCCTTGCTTTGGGAGATCGGTCGGCTGTACCTCACAGTATACAACTGGTATATGGAGAGTGGCCCTGCCATTGCAGATAAACTGATCAACTGTCTCCAATCTGCGGAAGGAAAGAGCGGATTGAAGAGCATGAGCCCCCGATACACTTCCCTGGTCCTTCGCATCTATGAGTACCTGCAAGCTTTGTGCAAAGCAAAGACTCAGGGAAAGTCAAGATGCCCTCCGTCCAACTCAGCGTCAGTGTCAGAAGAGCATCTGGAAGAGCTCCGCACCTTGGATCCCAAAATACATGGCTTTTGCATTCGGGATGGGACGTCTGGCTTACTTCAGCTCCCAAAAATTTCACCCTGCCATGTAGACGAAGCCAAGATTCCAAAGGTAGCCAAGCAATGCTTTGTTGACTTTATCTTTGATGCCCTCATCCTGGAGCACATCCTGGAATCAGACAAGTATTTCAATACTGAGAGGATACAAGCTCATAAGCCAGAGCATATTCGGGCCAGATTTTTAATCCGAGGTAGCATTTATCAAAGTTAAGCCTTACTGGATTGAGCTGATGCAAATTTTACTCAGGTGGCATTTTATCTGCTATAGTCAAGCGATTTGACTGGGATGACAGCATTTTGGCCTCTTTGGAATGGAAATCCCTTCTGCAAACTCCCCGTCGTATGTTTCAAACCTCCTTGGCAGATGTTGATTTTAGCCGTATCATCCATCGGGATCCTGTGGCAGCATTTGCATCCCTAGACATATGGCTCCAAGAACGTATTGATTCCAAGACCATCGATGCAGCTGGTGCACTAGGAGATGCAGTATGGGACTTCGTGAGGAGTGCAGGAGACCGAGCAGGACGTTTTTCCCGTCATAACCCATTTCAACATACTTTATCTCAGAGCGCTCCTGCTGTGACTTTCCTACCTCGGAGGGCAGATCAAACAGTCCTATCCTCTCAGGCCCTTCTTCCTGCCTCTCAAACTGCTCCATACAGCATTCCAGCGCTACTTATCAGAGAGGCTCTCAATAAGAAGAGGAACCACTCCCGTGGCTCCTCTTGTATTGACCGGATCATGCGTGGCCTGCGGCCTACCCAAGGCCAAAAATCCATCAGAAGCACTGCCAACCTGGATCATGTCAATATTCTCCGCATGGATGGTCACTACTCACAATTGTTGGCCAGAACTATTCCGCCTTCCCATGCAACCACCCGTATTGGAATCTCCAATCTTCTGGCTTATATGGCCTGTGGGCATGGCTATCCTACCAGTCAATTCATTCAAGACCACGAGCTGAAGTTCTCGTGCCTAAATGACTGTCTTTCCCTGTATGAGAGAGCTGCTTATAATGCCGGTAACAACCAAGGGCCATTCTTCAATACCCGGGTATGGGGCCAGCCCTCTGTGCACTTTGGAGTACAGTCATCCCGGGACCGTTCCACATCCTACCCCACTACTCATGATAAGTTTACACCGCTATTCTCATCAGAACTCCAGGATAAGTGGGTTCAATTTCTGGGCCCTATGGCCTGCCAAGACCCAGGAATTAAGACAGAACTCCGGCTTCCATGGGTCCAAGCCAAAGACTGGATTCTTCAGCAAAAACTTCATTGCTTTTCTTCCGGCCTCACTCCATTTCAGTTTTGTAATAATCTGGTGGCTTTAGGAATATGCAACCCTCCTACAGCCGAGGAGATGGGCTCATGGATTGGAGGAAACAGGAGGCTAGGCGCCTTCCAGGGACTCAAGATACTGGGATTCAACATCGATGCAAGGGGCCCCAAGTTCGGGCAGACCGCCTTCCAATCCTTTCACGCTCATCTGGAGCAGCATCTTCACCCCTCGGACAAACTCGACCTCACTTTTTCCACAATATTCTCCGAGCACCTGCTGTGCAAGATCTTTCGCTACGCTGGTATGTTTCAAAAGACAGATAAGACCTCTCTTATTTCCCTCGCGGAGAATGTGTCGTGCAGTGATTGGAGATCTGGGGACAATATCAATGATGAGTCCGGTCAACTATTCCCTATTCCTTTCGGCCAGAATAGGGAGGTTTTGGACCAGCTGGTAGCTGCCTCAGACTGAAGGTGCGCAAATGGGTGCCAAGTCTGAATTCCAAGGCAGAGCTATGTATGTATGATTATAATTGTATTATTAGTTAGTATGTCGCTGTTATTCGACGAGACTTCAAACTTCTGTGATATATGAATATAGGGAACGGTGCACGAGGGACGGTCATCGGCGCATATCCTTAATGTTGCAGCTATCCGCGAACGTATCGTTGGATATTCAGATCAGGCCCCGGTACGGAGTCAATCTGCTCAGTCGTCAGCCTCACTGGAAGTGCAGGCGACTCACGGTGCTCCTCGGTAGTTCTGATGGGAGGCCTTTCAAAGACAGCTGCGTCGAAGCTTGGAGGCCAAGGCGGTCTGTGCTGCTGTTGCGGTGGTGCTTCGTAAGGCTCAAGAGAGACGCTAATTTGCGGGCTGCGTGGGGTACTGCCTGGCAGAATATGGTGCGGGTAAGCTGGCGGTGGGTGAGCATGCTGGAGTGTACGATTATGTTTCTCCGTCATGGTCTCCGCTGCCGCCGATGGGGAAGTCATGGTCGCCGTCGATGAGAGAGTCGTTATCCTCCTCATGAGAGTCATTCCCATGGGTATAGCTGTCAACTTTGTTAGGTGTTGCGACATCGTCTTCTGGTTCTTCTTCGACAGGCAGTGACTTATCAGGAGTTCGGGTCTTCATAGCCTGTAGAGGAGGAGTGTTGCTGGAAAGCTTGCTGACCGCAGGCGGCGTCACACGAGCGTTGTCGGCAGTAACGGTGAGCGGCGGACGGGGAAGCTGAAGCAAGTAACTTCCATTAAATTGATACGACTCCTGCTTATACGAGACGTAGTCTACGTCTACTGCAGTCACACTCTCACCGTTCGACGAGCCAGTAGGCGTGTGGCAAGATGGAGAAGTGCGCTCAGGAGAGAGCACATGCTGCTGGGGGTCTTTGAGAGGCAACAACACCTCGCATATATACACAGCGCCGCACGCAGCATCACCGGTGTAGGCGACGCCAGACATTCCAGCCACGGGCGACTGCTGACTCAGGGCCTGCCCATAGTCTGCTCAATCTCTGCCATGAGCTCTTCTGAGTAGGGCGTGGATATTGCGCTGACTGAGTGTTGGGTCAAATGAGGCTGATGCATGTTGGGCTGACTGAGGGAATGAGGGTGGTGCTTGTCAAATGCACGTTCGGGTGAATAGAAGTCGAAGGAGACTAATCCCGCTGGATTGCTTCTTCTCGGAGATGAGACGGCTGGATGAGTGGAGATGGGAGTTGTGGGTGCGGCCTGCGTGGGGGCCGGCGAGGAAGTTCGTTTTGACTGCGGGGAGATGCTTGCAGTAGTAGGACTCGCTTGTTGTGCCTGGCGCTGATTCGCAGACTGAGTTGCTGCTCCGTGATCCTGAGGCGGTGAACATCCGGTTGCAAAATTGGCTGCACACCCTCGCCGGCCGGTTCACTTCGCTATCATACAAGCATCGCATTTCCCTTGAGTATCTAAATGCGTCTAAGTTGTGGTATGTGACGAGGGAGAGGGGTTGAGATGTAGTAGCGAGCTTCAGGATGATTGTTCAGTCAATCGCCGGATGAACAAGGCGAAGAATAAAGACACATACACCTAGAGGATCGCAAGGTTGATCCCGTGAACAGAATCTCGTGCGAGGTGATAAGTGCGTAGGTTTGGGACGAAAATATACGCTGCGGGGCAGATGTCTTGGGGACATAGGGCGAAGGATCACATGAAAAGAAATGCCGGAGGGTTCAGTTGATCTTAAAGAGAATATCGGCGCCCAGAATGTGGATAATGGGTAAACACGCACCTGGTGAGGATGTCACTTGGCACGAGAGCACAAATAGATGACACAGACTTTGAACGCCGGAAAACATCTGTGGGGACTGTGAACTTGTCGTTGGCTATATCAGAGCTCGCGATGACTTGTTGCATTTGCTGTTAATGTTGGAAGAAAGCAAGGTCAGAATGACAGCAGTAGGAGACTCGCTTTCAGTGTTTATCCCCAGGCGGTTGGTGTCAGCCTCTTGAATACTGCACATTGACATCCCGGGGTACTGAAGAGCAGAAGTTACTGAAAGAAAAAAGGCTTCAACTTGAACGCTTATGTAATACTACAACGGGTCCGTCGGATTGAAAGTTTCTTGACTTCGTCTATAGTAACTATAGTCGTGGAAGTAAGCAAAGTTTGAACGCAAAGAAAATGAATATCATGCCTCATGTGAACCCAATAAGTGTTTGCCGATAGCAAGGTCCAATCATCCACATCGCTGCCGTCGATCGCATGTTCTATTCTGTTCTGCGTGCGCCCAAGACGCCGTTATCGATTTCTTCATTTGTAACAAGCGTTGAGATCTCTAGGAGGGGCCAGACGAATTGAGGAAGCGCAGAGGAAAATAATTACTACCGTATCAGAGATGCGATCGCCTGCTTTGAGGTTGTAGATAACTGAAATGAAAGACGAGATCGGAACCCAGGTTATCCGCATGCGCAAGACACATACTATGTGCGAAGGGGGGAGAAGAAGCGCTTGCAGGCATGAGTTGATCATCTCACTTGCGTACGGCATGATACGGCTCGTTGTGCCTGAAAGAAAACCAAAGAAGTGTTAGTGAAGATCGAGCGCGGACCGAGCACTCGAGGACCTTTAGTCGCCGAAGCACAAGGGTCCGAAAGCCGTACAGGAAGACCGGGCAAGGATGCCGACACTATTGCAAAAGACATCGCTTTCAAGTTTACCGTTCGATATGTTGTCTCTTACCGAACCATCGAAATGCTCGCGTCTCGCCGCTCCCGATACAATCTTGAACGGACGGCAACTGCAGGACCGACGCTGGTTCAATTCTTCTCTGAATTGGCTTCTGAGTTGCCGTGATCATTCTCCGCTGTCTATCACATTACAAGCGTGTATATCTCTGGGGAAGGGAAATACATATCGAGAAGATGCAGAAGCCAGAGTAGAGTATTCTCGTGCCAGAGATACGATGCCTTCTCCGAGGCAGATAACTAAAATGAAAATGAAATCGGAGCCCGAGATGATCATGTGCAAAAGAAAATGATGGTGAACGTGCATTTCAAATTTCAAGGAGGAGGTCGATATCGTCTCTAGTGAAAATGAGAATTGGCTGTAAGTCACTGGTGAGTCGGGATCAAAGTGCGCAGGTACATAAAAGAGCTCACAGACCGATGTTACAAAGGCCGTCGTTCCTCCTGCAGGTTCGCTTGAATCGATTGGCGTCTAAGAATGGCCTGAGAGACGATTCATACAACCAGACACGCCAGCAGTGATTCGTGGTTCCACTCGATGGCGCAGGGCGTAGCATGGTGAATTTCAGTCTTCACCTAGGATAACACCAGTCAATGGTTTCTGACGTCTGCGAACAGTGATAGCATAGCAAGCTGTGCGGATTCGATAGAAGCGATCTGGCTTAGCAGGTCACGAAACTCTTTGGTTTGTAATCCACTTCCACTAGCAATTCGCGATCACAAAACGATATGCCCCGGAGGACGTATAGGTCCTGTCAACAAACCTAGTTGTTTTGGTGGCGTACTAGTTGCGCGAGTTGTCCGACGTGGTGTGACGGTCTCGGAGGTTCGGGCCTCGTAAGGCGTTGTGGACCTGGCAGCTGTTTCACCGCAGGGCCCGTAGTTGTAGTTGGTCTCTTGAGCGCGCTTCGGCTGGCAGCTAAAGGACGAGCTGTAGCGCCGTTGCCAACTGCTGGGAGTTTGCAGGGTTGATCAAGAGCCTCTGCGACAAGATCATCTTCTGCTTTGCCCTTGTGGCCCAACGTCGACATCGACATGGAGAAGGCCAGCGTACTAGCGATAGAGGGGACTAGCGGGTCCGACGGGTCTGGGGAGGACCTTAAGCGCGGTAAGCGCGACATTACGTTGAAATGTTGAATTTCCAACTGGGACACGATTCGTTGATCGAGGTGACAAACAACTTTTCGCGCGTTGAAACACGTGATTTCAAGTAACTTGGGGCCGCACAAATTCACACACTGCACAAATTCATACGCTGCAAGTTCATACTTGTTCGTCTTCCAATGATAGCGCGCCTCTTGCCAACTGCTTGCTTCGTCGCCCACAAGTCCGCTCGTTCAGACGCGCAGCTATGCAAGACAGCCAGATCGTGAAGCAGGCTTGTAAGTCCGCGTTCAAGTTAAATTGATATCGAACGTTTATCATGTGGGCTACAGCGCAGGGATTCAAGGGGAAGAAGGGCACCCCTTCGGGTCAGATGGAACTTGCAAAGACGGACAAGGAAGTGATGGTCTGTTCTCGTTGTTCGAATATGCATCATAGCCCGACTTCAGTCCGTCGGGCCTTCCAACCGCTGCCCGTCTCGCATCTTTCGCACCCGCTGTTTGCGAGTGATCGTCCAGATACCCTCAAACTACAGTCATTTCATCCCGTATGCTTCGAGTTTCTTTTTCGTGTATATTTGATTGATGCACTCTAACAGCAAATGCTTACGAGGGTCGTTGAGTCTCCAGCACTCAAATTCCCCCACAATGACAATGATCCATTCTGCATCTTTGAGTTGCCGAGGAATATCCTTGTCAAGGTTTGTGCGATGTCATATTAGCGCACAGGTGATTGATTAATTTGCTCTGTAGTTCCGCGTACTCTCCAAGCTCTGCTCTGTTATCTGTGACGAACAACGCAATTAACAAGTTAGAAGTTAGACGCAGCAAGTGAGAAAGACATCAAGGAATTTAGGGTTGTTTTTAGTATGCTTCTAGTATTCTTGTCACAGGTTTCCATTGACATCTTTCCAGCCGGAACCCAGGGTTGTGGAAAGAGTTTCCTTCTCCTGCATGGCTTACAGTATTGCAACGCTCGCGATTGGCTAGTCCTCTACATCCCTCGAGGTCTGTACTTTCCAGACTTCCACAAGGCTAATCTTTGACATCACCCGCAGCAACTAATCTTGTAAACTCTACAACTGCCCACACCTATGATATGCGAACTCGAACATACCTTCAGCCAATCTTCGCTTATCAAACTCTTCAGCGCTTTCTCAAGATTAATGCACCCCGGCTTGAACAACTGCGCACCCAGACCGAGATAGAAATAGAACGTTGCCCTCCAGTGCCCCCTGACACACCCCTTGTGGAGCTCATTAATATTGGCCTCAAGGATCAGTGTCATGCTCCGACAGTGCTTGATGCTGTGCTGGCAGAAATTGGGAGGCAGACAATGTGAGCCATCTTGCCTTCTCCGTGTCTAAGACAAGCATAGTCTCAACGGATGGATCATAGTTTCCCGGTGGTTCTGGCAGTTGATGACTTCCAGGCATTATATTGCAAGTCGCACATCATTTTCGGCTATCAAATTGTACTATTTTTTTTAATGCTGCTCCTTCTGCTCGAGCACGCATCTGCACAGAAGTCATTTGTAAGTGTCTATGAAAATCTGGGCACCTAGTCATCTGAACAGAATCAAAATCAGGCCCGCGATGAGTCTTGGTGCGTTCTCACTGAGCAACACAACATTCCCGCTACCTGTGGAGTTTCTTGAGGCTCTTTCTCTCGGGTATGACCGTCCCTATGGACCATATGTCAAGCGGCAGCCGGAGCTCGTAGATCACGCCCACGGCCTCAAGAGGCTGGCAGTACCCGCCAGCCTGAGCGTGCCCGAAGCAGCATCGGTTTTCGAGTTGTGGATGAAGGACAGGGCAGTGCCTTCAAGTGAGTAGTATTCTTCGTTCATCTGTTGTTGGGAAGGTTTGACAATTTGAAACAGAACCCAATGATGAGCTGTTTCTGGCCAAATATACTGAGGCCAGCGGGAACGCAAGAGCGTTTGTCTGGAAGGAATTGTTGTCGTCCATGTCAGCATAGTAGAGCATACCTTCTATATTATGTGGGTGCGCGCCCTCCGTGGTCTGACGTTGCCTTTGAGTCCATCCTTGCTTTTCTTGGAAGGCTTAGTCTGGAGCCGATCGCCCTCCCCAGGTTGTTGTATGTCGAATTTTTTGATGGCATCTTCGAAACCGCAGCATGATCTTAATAGGATGAGGCCCATGGTCATCATGAATGATAAGCGAAGTTTGCATGGCGGGCTTACTTGTCGGCGGCTGTCAAACTCCGTCTGATGAGCAGGCGTACATGCAATGTCATGCATGTATCTGCCCTTGAAGCTGGACACCTGAGCATTCCTTTTGATCTTATTTTGATTGGTGATCAACCAGACGAACCGATGGTTTGCCCCTCGCTTGCATGTTTCCTACGTCACTCGAAGAGCAATAAATTAACGAGTCGTGTTCGACCTAATGATTCTGATTCATAGAAGCAACAGAGACGTTCTTGCTGTCGTAAAGCAAACAGCGGCAGAATCTTTGGAGGCAGGCGGAGTCCGACCTTCGTCGACATCATGATGGTAGTCTCGAGTCACCTCCGTTGTGATCGATGAGCCGTTCGGCGTCTGAGGTAGTGCGAATATCCTAACTTCCCTCAGCGTCGGAGATCCTTCCCCATTTACCACAGCCGAGTTTGTCCTCGGGGAAGGACCGAAAAAACTTTAGCGGAACCTATAATCCTGCAGCCTTTTCATCCATTCGTGTACCAGAAGACCGTTTACGCTTCATCACAGCTTCTGGCCTGATAGCATACAGAAGGTACTGGGAAGCCTAGCCTGTTCTCGAAAACGGAGCTGACTGGCGTGTACTGACTCGGAAACCGAACAGAAAGCTGATTCTGACATATTGTGCAAGGTGCACCCCGCATACACGCACGATACCAATCGTCATAGCATCCAATGCGATCACCGATCGCATATATAGCAAAGCCACTTGAACTCGAAGTCAGGAATGGGAAAGATGGAGTCAGTGTTGGTGCAAAAGGGGTGCAGGGCATCCGAGATTTGAGATAGTAGTGAACGGTCTTACTGAGCGTCATGCAGATAGATCTCGCAGAGGTTACATGAGTTGGCAAGGGTGAAGTTGACCTAGCAACCGACGTGTTGGGTACCGTTACTCATCTTTGTCTGTCTGCATTCGTGGATTAATAGAAACATCTCCTAGATGTCAAGAGCTTCAAGCACTATTAAACGTAGCTGAAGACCGTCAAAAGTGAGTCAAATAGATGATGTCCTAGATTAGCGTGCCCGCAGCAATGAGCGGCATTGCCTGAAAATGATATAGTAGGACCGATCGAGAAGGAAGTCGTGACGTTCATGATCTACCCCATTTGACAGCCAATCAGGGAGGGAAAAGTTATGCACCTTCTGAGGGATGTGAGTGTCTCAGTACTGATGCTTTTAGCCTCTCCAGACACACCAGAACGGGATGAATAGTGTATATAATGTGCAGCATCATGATTTGCAGCTAGGACATGTTTATAGCGACTGCTTAAGAAATGAATGCCCGATATTGAGGAAGTTGTGAAATCAGATACGCACATTGAACGTGAACATATAAAAACGATAACAAAGTACCAGATTCAGAACTGAGATGAGCGTGCAAGCGATGCAGTGCCTGGATGTGGAAGGGATGCACAGCAGAGAAAAAGAACAAAACGGGTCCGCAATGGCAGGGAGCGGGCTGCACGCTTGCTGCACTGGGCGCGGTAGTATGGGAATCAGGAGCAGTAGGTGTCTCGAATGTGGAGGGTGCGGTAGGCTGACTCGTCTGTGATGATGACGCCTGAGCCTGGGGCTGGCCTTGTGATTGAACTTGATGGTGCTGTGTGTGCGACGACGTCACACGGGTCTGCGCTTGGCCTTGCAATTGATGCTGCGGTGGTTGTGCATCGGCACCGGCGCGTTGAGCGGATGTGCAGCAGAGAAAGAGCACGAGATGAGCCTACAAGCGTCCGAATCGTGAATGGGTAGCTCTTGCGCCCGGTGTGGCAGGATTAGTGGCTGAAGCATGGGGTGTTGTAGATGATCAATGATCGATGGTCCCTGGCCGTGCGATTGAGATTGCGACTGACAGGAAATGACTGAACAATAGCAATTATAAACGCACTGGGAGGAATACATACCTGTTTGTCCCGCACTGCAGAAACTTCGACAATGAGAGGAGCACGAGAGAAAATGGACCGCGTTGGGCATTGCTGGAGTTCAATGTATGAATGTGGCGGAAGAGCGACGCGAAGTGATCGAGAAGGGGCGCTTGGATACTGCCAGGATGAGAATGGGTACCGCGTGCCGCAGAGGACTAAAAGTACAGAGGTGAGAATGAGAACCGGTCAAAATGCAGACCACTCACCTGGGAAAACCTTGAGGTGGCTGAAAAGATTAAGGAACATGTCCCGTGCGGTCATTAATGGTTTTCGAGTTGGAACCTGCGAGTGGGATATTAGGGTAATTTTTACTGAGGAGCTATAAAAGTTACATCAGGAATAGACAGGTCCTCAAGCCCAACTTCTTTGAGGATGGCGTGAACGTCCCATGCGTACGCGTTTTTGTTTCTGCAAGCAGTGACTAGCACCTTTCCATCTGGGGAAAGGGCTGCGGAGTACAAACTCCGTTCGTGGTGGAGGGGTAGTCCGACTGGGAGGTTTGCATCGAGATTCCATAGACGCGCTGGTTTGTTGAGTGACACGCTAACAAGGAAGCGGTTGTTGGGAGGCAAGGAGATGGCGGTGACAAGGTGTATGCCTTGAAGGATAACGATCTGCTGCCAAGCGGCAGTGTCGAATATCCCAATCAGTGCGAGTGAACCGGAGATAAGCTTCTTCTCGTCCGACGTCCAGGCCAAGAAGTGTTTGAGCGCGGTTATAGCAAACGACACAATTGACACCGAGCTGACGGTTGATCGCGAGTCATCCAATTCTAGCTAACATAGTATTCATGCCGCGTTCTATAGTTGGCACGATGTCACTGCCTAGATGTTTCAAGAGTTGAGTCGAAACATTATATCGTGAAAAGTCATTGACCGCATGCTGCGGATGCAATAGAGTGGGTGATGGAGACGGCGAGCAACTTCCAGATGTCTGCGAAGATGAGTCACTTAAAGAACCGCATAGGATACGAGTCGTATGTCGTGAGTGCACCGTCAGAAAGTGAGAACCTAGGGCAAAAGACTCATCAAATCGCGCAAAGAAGTGAACCGACCGACTAACCTGTAGACAACCCAATGACCTGCATCCGACCGATGTTTCGCAAGTACACTCGGTATTGCTCTCGAGAAACGGCAGACTCAGCGTATGAGTGTTGCCTGCGATTGGCATAGGCGCATTCAATGACTGGGGACCGAGAGTTTCAAGATGCTCATGGACTTTTATCATTCCGCTCATAGGCTCTTTGGCCCATAACTTACAAGATAAACTCGTTACTTCTCTGCACAATAACCTCCAACCTCTAGCATTCCCGTCAGCACTTGATGAGATTCCCAACGATCATACTCGGTATGCCCCACTTATCCCGCCTGATTGTAAATGAGAAACAGCAGTTGATGAAGCCCTCCTCATTAGGGACATCCATCCTTTTTCGGCGTTTGCGGCTGCATATTGATAAGGGATTTTATAACGTAGCACGCAAGATGTGAGTACGGCCTTCTGGGAAGAGTCAAACTTGCATATTTCTAGCAAACGGGGTCAAAAGTTGAAGTGTGTTACGATAGACGAGACTCACCTCCCGACAATTGACTGCCGACTCTTCTACAATAAGCTCGTAGATACAAAGGTGGCCCTACATAGAAGACATAAGTCCTTGCAAGCATTCATAGTCACATCGAGACAGCTTACGCCTCGCATCATATGTCCATCGACACCTATGAGTTCTGGAAACTCGCGGTTTCCTTTATAGATCTCACCCATTCGGCGCCAGAGACACGCTGGGGCATTCATGGCTGAGAAGACATGGTTGGAATGAAGAAGCAATCGCTCAAAAGCTTCTTCTATGAAAATGAGGTCCTTGTAACATGGTCGATCGCAAAACTGCATCAGTAAGGACTCAAGCTCACGATATCGCGTAGGGACTGCGCAACAGCCTAAGTATGATCAGCAACGTTAGTAAATATCGTAAAAGATCATCGCTCACTCGGAATGTGGTCGCAGCACCGACAACGGTTGCAGAATTTGCCGCTTCGATTGTCGAGAAACACTGAAGATAAACAGGTGTTCGAGTCAAATCAATGTCTCAACAAGAACAAGAAGACAACGACTTACTTGCGATTCATCCACCTTGACAGTCGTGCATAGCCCTTGACATGATCATACGGTTTGAGCAGACCTGCCTCGACGAAGACGGCAGTGACGAGGAACTAGATGAGGGGGATATTGAAGAGGGTGACGAGAGTGAACAAGAAGACAACGACTTACTTGCGATTCATCCACCTTGACAGTCGTGCATAGCCCTTGACATGATCATACGGTTTGAGCAGACCTGCCTCGTATTTGCTCCGAATAACGCGACTCAGTCGTTCATCCCGAGTGCCTGACTCCTGATCTGCAGCAGTCAACAAAAACATTTCTGTCTTGGTGGTAGACGGTAGAAGAGGGGGTGCAGGCTCTTCAGCGGGTGCCTCAGGAGGATGTGCCGGAGGGTTCGATGTCGCTTCAGTAGCAGAGGCAGGGCTTGATATGTAGGGAGTAGCCTGAGAGAATGTGGGCGTAGGCATGAGGGAGGGTGTCGCTGCTGGAGATGTGGTGAAGAAAGACCCCTCGTCTAGAGTTTCCAATAAGTCACAGGAATAACTGAGTGAGACGCATAGCGGAAAGACCATAAAATGACAACGTGAGGACTGAAAATTCGTTGCTTAACGTTTCGGGCTGACAGAGATATGCGCTTGACGGAACACTCATTGGCCATGCGACGGTCGCTGGAGGAGGCATGGATGAGCCATAGATAGGCTCTGCGCAAAACGCTCTCAGCATAGTAATACAAAGCCATGGTATACACACGAGTCATCGACCTTGCAGGATCAACACTATTTGACGAAGCAGCTGGAACAGCATCGGAACTCTGCTTCCCACCAGTCTTTGGCGGTCGCTGCTCGTCATGGCAAAGATGGCCAATCTCGCGCTTCATACTACAGACTCGTCAGCACATGCAACAGTGCGCAAGTGTGTTCATGGGTACTCACTGAGGAGTTGAGCGCACATCTTGGTCATATGACGCGCTGCGTCAATGCATTCCGCAACGCCTTCCTCATCACTTTATGGGTGGTTTGATGAAGCAAGATGCGAAGATCCATATCGTGGGACTTGCTATTTGATACTGACATATGGCGTACCGCAGAAGAAGGAAAGCTGCTTGCGCACCTATTTTGGTATTACTTCAGGCGAAAGTGGCATCAGCTATGTCAATATCTGGGATAATCGTCCAGCTGTTCCTCCTCTTCTTTAGAGTCTGGACTCCGAATCTCTGAGTACTTTTCGACACAGCCACGTGGGCTTATGTACTGGCATCACGTGATTTTGAAACCCGCTGCGCTCGTCGCTCTCAGCCTCTCTGCATGACTTTCCTTGAAGCTTCGAGCGTCAGGGTGAGCTGCACTTCCATCCTCCGCCCCCTTCTTTCCGCATCATTACTGTGCTTTCGTCTCACACGCTAACACTTCTACTCAGACAAAGAGATAATCTCCCGTCTTGCAGAGGCTGACATGATGGTCGACCTGGAACACTTGAATAGCAGAGTCGCGACCGTTGAGTTGCGAAATGTAAGTTTTGTCAGCCTCTATCCCTTGTTCATCGACTAACTAACTACCACACAGTGTCAGATATTTTATTCTATTGTTTGACATACAGTCACCTTCCTCGTCGCTATGCAAACATTTTACCCTTCCTTCCTATTACTGGGACCTTCGAGGCATTGCGCACTGGCAGCAAAGCAGTGAGTGGTACGTCTGTTTCTCTTCTTTCCTTCCGTTTCGACCTTTGCCCACTCTTTTTGTGTACCCTCTTATTCTTACGTGTGCACGTGTCAATAGCGTTAGGTCTTTAACGACTCGTCTCTCCGAATTTGAGTCTGAACGCACCCGACTCGAAGCTGCCGTCGGTATTGCACGAGGCGCAGCAGCCCGATCAGAGGAGCGGATTCCAGAAAAGGCAGGTGTCATCCTGAACGAAATATCCTCGATGAGTACAATCACTCATATCTACACATTCCACAGGCTCGTGAAGCAGACTCTGCTCGCGCAAAATAGACGCTCCGATAACACAACTTGAAACATACGCAGATTACAACAAGGTGAAGCGAGAACTGGAGATTCTCAAGGTGCGCCTTACCCTCATGTGTCATTCTCATCGTGTCGACTCCATGATAGTACGTTAAATTTGCAGGTCTAGACCCGGATGATGATTGGTCTATCTACCAGACCTTCATGCGGAGGTCACATCCGCACACCTAACCTAGTTATAGGCTTCAGTCTCCAGGGTGTTAGGGATGAGGTGTACAGTGAAGGGACACATCTCATGGTTCGTACCACTCTTTTGAACGCATTTTGTTTGCTTATGCTCCTCAGGTTCCCTGGTTCGAGACTCCAATAGTTTTCGACATTCGTGCAAAGCCTCGGAGTGTAGCAAGTTTGACTGGCACGAAAGGTGACGTCTGCAGCTTGCGGCACACCTGCACCCGCTTAATTTGGAATTGTAGATCTGCAAATGGTCAACATTACTTGCAGAGTTCTGTCACGGCCGGCTGTATCTACTCTGCCTCAAATATATCGTGAACTAGGAAAAGACTATGACGAGCGCGTACTACCGTCTATAGTTAACGAAGTCCTCAAGTGTGGTCGCACAGTTCAATGCGAGTCGACTTATTACACAATGTGAGATGGTGCGCAGTATTTTCACCTACTACCCTGTTGTAAAATGACGATGGGTTATGTGTCAGGTGTCCCGGTTAATTTGCGAGAACCTGACGAATTGTGCATTGCGCTTTAATGCGGTGCTAGACGATGTGTCTATCACCCATTTGGCATTTTCACCTGAGTTTACGCATGCTGTCGAGGCCAAGCAGGCAAGTAATCTGGTACATATCCCATTCACCGAGGTAATTTTGCCCTACAGGTCGCTCAACAAACAGCTTTGAGGGCTGCCTTCTTGGCTGATCAGGCCATCCAAGAAAAGCAGGTAATATATCCTTGTAGTAATTATCGGTTTTTCTTAGTTCTGATGTGTCTTCTACAGTCTATTATAGTGCAAGCTCAAGGTGAGGCAAAGAGTGCTGAGCTGATTGGTGAAGCCATGCGCACGAATAAAGGATTTCTGGAGCTTCGTCGGCTTGAGGCCGCAAGGGATGTCGCCAACATGCTAGCCTCCTCAGGGAATAAAGTGATGTTAGATGCTCAGAGCCTCTTGTTGAATGGTGCGTTGTCTCCTACTTTGTGACGATTGCTACTAACAGATTCTTTGTTACGCAGTGACTGGAGAGGACACAAAAGAGTTACTGAAAGTAAAGAAGTGATCCTATTACCTTGTCCGCATCTCGTCATCATTGTACTGTCGCTGCTGATGAAAATGCACATGTCGACTCATAACAGTATAACTGCAAGTCGTTGCCTTGCAAGTTACCGCTCACCATCTACAGACACGCATCAGAACGACATGAAGAGGACAAAACAAAATGGGTCTTCTAATCACCGTAAAAATGAAGTCGCTAAGAGCGCACAAAACCACGAGCAAAATCAGACAGCCGAGTCCGACACTGAAGAGAGCTTTCAGTTGCCACGAAAGAAAGTCAGATGGGAGGGTAATTCCGAATCAGTGGCAGTGGTAGCAAATATGGAGAACGGTATTTCGGAGGACGATGCGAACACATCAAAGGTGAAGTTTCTCAAAGAGTGTTGTGTCCCGTGGATCTGACCATCTAGTCAGATCTGCTTGACGATGTCTTGCCAATCGTAAGTCGTTCAATGAGTGCGTGTTTCCGATGCATATTAGCGTGTTTCCTCCAGAGGGCGTGTTGCAGGCCCATACTATGATTCTGTCATGTGTATAGTCTATGTGCTCGAAGATACGCAAAAGGATGTTTACTTCGATCTTACGAGCATGCGTTGAGTGGAATCCTTCTCATCATTTTGCCCATCTGAACCTGTACCAGTTCTAGAACAATGCAATGCTGACAAAGTGTTGACCAGCTCCAAAGCCGACGACCCGTTTATATCGGTCCTTCAGAAATTTGATATGCTCTCTATTGCCACTGCATATATGCGCAGGTACTCAACCCAATGACTCAGCTGAGGCTTCTGGAGGTGTCGCTCCCTCTTCTCTCTGAGTTGATAACCGAAGATACTGGTCAATTGTCATCCGACAGCAGTTCAGGCGCTGAGCCAAGAAACGCATATGAATTCATGCAGAAACGCAAACAGCCGGCAGGCGACCCAACTATGGAAAGATGGAACACGGCAATTAGGTTGGCCAACTATGCATCGGTGGAATCTTCTCTTTGTGTGCATCTAGATACGTGGATACGGTATTCCATCTTCTCCACCTCTCCACACATTCACACGTGCACAGGACCAAGCTGTCAAAGCCACCGAGGCGCATGCACTGGAAGCTGAATTGTGTGGACTAACTGTTCGATGTTCGTGGGGCTATACTTAAATCACCAGTGTGATCAACAGCATGGTCATGTAACATACAGACGATGCCGCCATTGGTGCACTCAAAGTATTTCGGCAATGCAACACCAATGAGTTGGTTATAAGATGTTCATTTGACACTGCCTGGTAGGCATGTGCTCACCGTGTTCAGCCACTTAGCAACGAGTAGGAGCATGGTTATCACACCCCTCATTGTACTGAGAAGGCTGAGTGCCTCAACCAGAAGAGTAGTTGTTGGCGTTGAAGAATCCTCTTATTGTGTTGGCTACTAGCTCCGAGTCCGGGTCGAAGTTCAATGCTATAGTCAGGTTGCAAGGGCACGAATGTGAATTCCTTGTGAAGGTCTACTAGTAGGGAAAGCAAAAATTGTGGAAAATGAAGCTGAAAAAAGGGTTAGCAAATTAATCCCACAGGAATGACTATTACATAATTACAAGACCCGCGGCCCGCTGCGATTGAGGTCTTTGTGATTCAAACCACTTATTAAGCTACAACTAAAGTTATCATCAGCATTGCCCTCGTCGCAACTACGGTGGCAACTTGATCTGCTACATCGCACAATCACCTGGAATGGCTGCGATAACCTATCCATTAGCTGTTCGTTCTTTGGCAGATATGTTCCCAGACCTTCTACACATCTCCGCCTTAGCTTCTCATAGACTCCATGAAGCCAAGGATATCAGAGATCCCTTTGATATAAATGCGGCCTACGATGCGGAGAAGACTGTGCAGGAACTGGAGCCTCTCAGCCGTAAGTCAAGATAGTTTCAGCTTGAGTTGTTTCAATCTGCAATCAATGGTTTGTGTATCAATTCAATTCAGGTATAATTCCGGCAGTATCTCACATGCATATCGAAGCTGCGAAAAACAGAGCTCATGTATTGCGCACCATTCGTAAGTCCTCATTTTGGCGCCAGACCCAAAGTTCACTAATCTCGATGTAGATGCAACAGCAACAGTTGGAGCTGTTGATGTCCTGGCGAGATTAGATGAGATACAAAGAACACAAAATACGACTCAGGCGATCATAAACGAAAATCGTGCGATGTTACAAGAGACCCGAGCTATGGTCATGAACGTCAGACTTGCAAGCCAAAATGCTAAGGTGCCACAGGAACGAAATCATTACAAACCTCTTCAAAAAACTGTGAGTCAGGTCCGTTGTTATATCTGTCACCATATCCTAAAGTGTCCCCTCGTTATTGTCATAGAGGAGTGGTCATGGTCGTGAACTAGCGTTGCAAGTATCAAGGCCGGAAAACATCAATCACCTTCCCCCGCTAGCTACCATTCAGCCCGCTGCATTAGGGACTGTCCCTCCCTTTTTTGACCGCAATACAGATGCGTATACATTAGGAACAATCAACTCTCTCATTATCTTCTACAATGATGATTTCGACATAGAGAAGGAGGATAATTTGGAGATTAGGAAAATAAAGTTTCGTCGCTGGCTGTGTTCTTGATTATCGCTACAGTCACCCAGTTTCTGATTCATTTGGTGTCTTCCAAGGCATGTTCCATTTATTGTTAGAAAATAAAAACTTGCCTGGGATCTTAGCGCTCAGCAGGTATAAGTAGTGCAGCTTGCTTGATTTTAAAATGTAGTCCGGCCAACTCTCAATCGCGACGATCAAAGGCTAGCTAATACTTGCTCTTTGTTCTCAATTTCACAGATCGTTTCACGATCGATCATGATCATACGCGTGACACCATTTATATGTCCATGTCAATCACGGCGTTCGATTTGCTCCTTAAATCCCATTTGCAAATGCCTTTCTGGATTCTGAATTCTGATGCGACTTGAAATGAGCGAATGTACATGTAGTTGATGTTCGGATCGGTGGAGCCACGTGCGCACTGCACAGGGATACATAACATACTTAATGGAAGAAAGAAACTTTGCACACCAACTTTTTATGCCCTATGGCTCTGATTACGGCCCTTGGCGTTATCGTCTCTTTCCAGAGCACGAGCTATGTGCTCAGATCCTGAAACGCTGCATAACTAATATCTCAAGCGACGGCTCAAGGAGCCTTGGCGCTTCTCTACAGCCTCATGTTAGTTCAATCAACGAGGACAGGTATCTAATCATGGATTTACGCCTCTCAAATGGTGTCTGGAGCTTGAACTGTGTCTTCAATGGTGCGTGTTATGAGGCACTACATATACTTCATCTTTCCCCGCGTATTTTATTAATCAATTAAACCTCTCCTATACAGGACACGGAGGACATGACACAGCTGACTACCTTGTCTCGGAATAGTCCTTCCTTTTAATGGCTGGATTGTTGCACACAGTGACCAACTTGGAGGGCGTTTCAGATGTTCTCACCAAAGGGATTTTTGCCGTGGATGAAGCAATAAGACAGGACTTCCTCGAAATATTCCCTGAACAAGTCGACGAAATCGCCACGATGTCAGATGTAACAGTCAAAGCGCGAGTCAACGACCAGTCTTCCGGGGACTAAATCATCAGAAAACCCTACGTTGCTTGAGGGGATCTACAATCTTATTGACGCTCGTCGACCCTACAAAGAAACATCTTTGGGTGCTAAATCTCGATGATGGCTTAGTGGGTAAGCTGAGGTGAAGGTTCAAGCGGAAATCACTGACATCGATCTTGAAGCAGTGCTCGGAAGTAGACGAGACGCGAGTTCACAATCAGAATGCATCTTCGACGATAGAGTGCTCGGTAATCTTGCTGTCACGAGAGGTAAGCCTATCTAATGTGTTAGACCAGATGATCTCACTGTGATGCAGCATCAAGCTGTTGGTGACCACAGCTTCAAACTGCCTCGCATCTACGCTGAGAAAATATTCTTAAACGTAGAACCGGGATTTCGTGTCCCTGCTGCGACTGAGTCTTTCATTTCACGAAATCTGAGCCCGCCATGCGTCTCGAATCTTGCAAGCGTTTGTCATGTCGACCTTCATGAGCAGTCAAGCTGCAACTGCTTTATCTTGATGTGTTCCGACGGGCTGGTTGACGTTTACATGGATGACCCAGATCACGTTGAATCCTTCGCATCTCTCGTCCGGAAGTGGGTGGAAATAGTGGGTGACGTCGTGAAAGATGACATTGAAGGGGCAATGCTGCGCTTGTTAAGACACGCTCTGGGCGCAGAAGACATCGACAGAGTCTCATGCATGCTCAACGTAGACATGCCTGTCCTTTATATGGATGATACGACTGTCATCTTACAAGTGCTGTAGTATCCGATACTAAGGCGTGTGGATGTAGGGGGTAACGGATGTGGATTGTGCCGAGTGCTAGAAATGCTGCATTTGTAAATTATAGATAAAAGTCAGGAAAACGTCGAGCCCTGCATCATCGCAAGTCCAAGATCTTCAGCGGGCTGTCTTTCATTTGCACGTGCCCCTTGTCTGCGTCCTAAACAACCGATCAATAGCTGTGGACGAATCACTCCAGAAGCTACGCACTGTGTAGATCGGCACCTCTGAGTGCGGGCTTCCTTGGCATTGCAGTCCAAATTTGTTTGCAAACCTGGGGAGTCGGTAAGGCAGAACATTCCGAAGCTAACTGTGAAAAGAATCAAGACATGAGTGGTATGAGCAATGCGGTACCCACTTGGGAGTGAACTTTGGGGCGCAAACAACGGCAAAGGACTCTGGAAGCATGCGCTAAAATCCAGAATGCGTATGTAGAACATAAAGCTTTCATAAAGGGCCAGTCAGCAAGAGGTTCTGTGCTAAAATTAGGGACCCACAAGATTGTGAAGGATGGGTGTGAATCCAACGAAGATTGTTAGACGCAGATACACAGGACGACCGGAGGAAACATGCTCATCCCAAGGTAATCAAGTTCTTCCGTGAATTGCAGGACGAGCTCTTCCTCGTCCATAGTGCAAGTATCGCTTGTCAAGTGCTGCCTTGGAATGAAGAGCGCCGTGACAGTAAATTTATTTTCTTTGTCTTTCCAAGCAACAGTCGAAAAGTTTCACGATTTCGCGCCATATTCAGCGATGAGATAGACAGGAACCTGCGGAAGACATTCTCGTAGCAAGTTCGATCTTCAGGTCGGGTACTTGAACAGGATCGCTGGCTTTACAAGTAATCCGTGCAGAGTCTTGGTCAGCAGTCCGGTACCGGTCACCATCGATACGACGTACGGGAGCGGATGGAGGTGGAGGAACGGCCTGACGAACTCGCGAAAGGGAAGAATACGGGGTTGCAGAATCAAAGTAAACATCAGAAGTCGACCGCGTCGTATTCTGAGAGTATGGGTATGACGTCGGCTGACTCGGCAAGACAACCACAGAAAGATCAGGAAGTTGATGAGTAGACAATTGAGAAGATTCCGGTTCGAAAAGTAGGGAAGATCGTACAAGATGGTGGGCTTGAGAGTGGGGTAATTAAACATTGATTGCAGAGAAGGTGCGTAACCTTGCTTGAGCTGGTGTTGCGACATGAATTCTGGGTATTGAATATGTCCATCCGGTGGAATAGGCGATGTTGTGGTTACTGGTGCAGGATAAGACGGGCTGAAGTGACAATGAGATACGCCCAATAATGACGAGGAGATACTCACGGCTTCAACCTTGTTGGAGTTGTAGCGCGGTTCCTATATGGCCAAGTCTATATATGTATAAATTCAAGATTCGAGGACGCTGACCTTGTTGGGCTCTCGATAGGCATAAGAAAGGGAGCAATAGCCATTGCTTGAGACCTTTCGAAGGATCCCAAAGGTTGGAAAGAGTACGGTCTGAGAGCTCTGCAATTGTTGAAGGTCTCCGACTAGATGGGCTCGGTCGTGGAGAGGGTCAGGGCACATTTGTATAAGGCGAACTCATGATGGAAGAGCATCTAACCACCACCGCTCGTAACGTCCCGATATTTCGTACTTACTGTATCTGGAAGAAATGCCTCCGTGTGGCTGTTCTGGTTCGTTGATTGGCCCGAGATTGGGCTTCTGGAACTTGGATGGACACGTCAGTGATGAACAAACAGTTCTGGTGAACTTCTTGCCATCACAACAAATTCTAATATCCAAATTTACAATCCAGGCACAAGGGAACGCGTCGCATCTTTGACAGGTCAAGCTTGATGACTTAGCGATTGTACGTAGTTTCTGGTGGCGGCGGAGGAGAGCACGCTTGTCTAGGTATTCTCGTGTTGACGATCTCCGAGAGGATGACGAACCTTGGAAGTACTATGGTCACTCGTTGGAATTGACGCGTCGAATGTCGATAACATGATACTCTGAGGTTATCAATCCTGTATCACATACTATGCTTCATGTTGTACTACTGGACACTGGTACTGTTAATTATATACCCCGGAGTCGCACTAATAACACATTAATTAATATGCTCTCGGTAACTCGATGCGGCCGTCTATATAGTAAACATCGTAGACAAATCCATGCCATGATCGATGGAGGGCGACCGCCGACGTGGCACACTTCCTCGGCGGTCTTCCGACTCCGTGAGAACATTGTTGTCAAGTGACCTATGGAACTTACTTATTCATATCCATCCTGCACTAACTATGTTGCCTCACAAAGCTTGCAAGTGCTGCGCAGCTGTTTGCATATCAATTATCAATTATATTCCCTATTCGTCGCCATCACGTGTCCCGCTTGACTCTTACCTTCTAACGCCGTCATTTCGTCATGCGGCTGTCAAGGGTCGTTCGAAGGTACACACTCTGAGGAGTTAAGGTGAAGTACCTTCTGCTCAACATAAATTACACTACCTCGAGCTGTGAACCGCGGATGGTTGGGGACTATCACCAGCAACCAACTTTACAGCTAGGGCATCAGCTTGAAACCCATGAAATTTAAGGATGCAAAAAGATTACATAGGACCTTCCGAAGACACCCCCTTGCAAGCCCTTACTCTGCGCCAACAACAACGGCTTGGAGCCCGCTGTGTGGAAAAGGAGGGGAGAAATAGCGGATGTACCGTTGATATCACAGGATAAATTGATGGTGGCTGGCGTACTAGTTACCTACTACTAGTGAGTGTAAAGTTTCTCCTTCCCCCCGTCCTGAGTCCTCGTGATTGCATTGCGTTTACCTGTGAAACAGGTAGACCATCAACATGGCGACCTATGGCGACCGCCGCAAGCAGATTGAGATGAAATATTCATTCTCAAACTTCAAGGGCGTTTTGACCCCATAGTTCGACAACAATAATGATATTGTCCACTTAGGTGAAACAAGATCTGAACATGGTTTCACGAGCATACTTATAGTAAAGCTACAGAGCAAATTCCTTTCCGCATGAAATTCCTATCAATAGGTTAGGTGTGCGGAAGTGACTTCCGCGCGAAGGTCAAATTGATAGGTGGGGTGTGTTCCTGAAGCAGAGATACAGGTCGTTTGGGTAGAAGTCCAAATTTAGCTAAGGTGTGATAAAATTAGAGACGCAATGCAGAGGGAGAGAAGAAACCGATTGACTGGCATCAATTCCACTCGGGGTACCAATACCTGTGACCTTGGGGTGACACCCGACCACGAGGCAAGTTCAGGCGGAGGGGACGTTAGATTCCTGCGGAAGCTCGAAGTCATCATTCCTGACTGAAGTGCGTTTTCGCTTGGACCGAAGGGAAGAAGGGGATGAACCATCTGTTGGACGTTTCTTGCATGAGCGCTGGCGAGTGCCTGGCCTTTTATCAGGCCCTCGCCGTTTAGGTGCTGCATCGTATTGGCATTCATTCGAGCGGCGCACACAATTATGACAAATTGGTCTTGCAGAATCACATCGAATTTTCCTTGCACGACTTAGCAACCACGAAAATGAGCAACCTGAAATAAGAATAAGAATGAACGCACCATTGCTGACAAGCTACCACCTGATTCGAAATTTCCCTGTGAGGCGGATCCTGAGACGTAGATGCGGCTGGCTGCAGTTGAAGGGTTGACTCTGACGTTGGAACAGGGGATCGAGTGCTCTCTGGAGTTTGTATTGCAGGGGGTTGTGCTGAGCAACCACCTGAGTAAGACTGTGTGCGCAAGTCCTCGGCAGAATATTTTCGATTTTGGGGGCCTTGGTAGAACAAATTGATGACGGCACCGTGAGCTGGAGGGAGCGGAAGGCAGGTGTTAGGGTGGGCATGGGGCGGTGTGTCAAGGCCGAGGTGATTTCTTTGTGGAGGAAACTCAGACTGATATGAATTATGGTGGTGAAGATTCTGATTTGAATGAAAATCCGAAGGGGTTTCGAGAAGGTGAGGGTGCGGGTGGATGTTGATGTAATTAAACTGAGAGGCTAGGATGCCCGCTGCATGTTGTCTATCTAGTTGATCTTGACGATAGCAGACTTCATTGTGGATAACATGTGAAATGATGATTAACACTGTTTTTGAAAAGACGATAGGACTTACTGTATCCATGCGGCTGAGGAAATTCAGCCCCGAAGATGGGTGAATGCAAGCCGGAGCCATCCTCGTTGGACTGATAACCGTCCTCCATCATTATGCCTTGTAGAAATGGAGCATAGATGTCACTGTTTGTACTGATGACCATGAGTACTAAAAGAATGAGAGTTGAGAAAGAAAATAGTAGATGGTAATATGGCACTAGTTCTTTACCATGCGAGACTTGAAGGAGAACATGCGCCGGAATGGCAAGCTCAATGATTAAGTATTACTCCCGAACTCGTTACCAATTCGCGAGTCAAATGAGGATTTGTACATAAGTACAACCGCCGTAAACCTTGGGTAGACCCAAAAAAGTGTTAAGCCTTACAGCAGTATTTAATAAGGTGAGTCAAAGTACACGTCGCGCTTGCTGAAATCCTATCCCACACATCCAAAAGTAGTAACATGCGGTAAAGCTGTTCGAAATGTTGTTACAGCTATCTTCATATCGATAGGCTGTGCCTAGCAAGCCATTCACCACTTGCATGTCTCGAGCGCGCTACAAGTCACAGTGATTTAAGAACTGACGAGGTGTTGCGTTTCAAGTTGGAGCTTTGAAGCTTGAAGGAGTCAAGATTTGGCATCCGTCATGGATGCGGACTTCACCGTCAACTCGGTAAACGCAGGCTTGCCCCTTGTGCATGGAACCTCGACTGCGAGTGGCACTCGCAACTGGATGTCAGGGACGAAGGTTTGAGTCAAATTGGACCGGGGTCAATATTAGGTGTCAGGTTCAGTTGCCTCGTAGATCGGGGCAGCGGGGCCAGAAGTAGTGTAAGCGAATAATGAAAAGTTGCCATGATGATACGGCGGGACAGTCACGTTGTCCATGGAATGGGACTGTAAAGAAGTAATACTTTTGTCAAGCAAGACTCTGCCATTATAGATGAAACTCACATATATATTGTGTATCGTCAAAGTATCCTTGGGGTATTTGACAAGTGTCTTGCTCGATCTTGGTATTATCTTTTTCAAAATTCACGTGCGCATATAATGAATCAACACCTGGTGGATATTGGTACACCATGATACTACACGCCAGTGTAATACTAGACGACGACGGCAAGAAAGTTGTGAGAGATTAGCTATAGATGAGTCAAACAACAAGAATGAACGAATCATGTTGTTTCGATAATGTTGGCAGTCGGTGTTCTGAACAGGCATGCAGCAAACCCAGCCTACAAAACGAGCGCGCCATCCAGCACCGGTGATATGAGGGTGCGAGGGTACTCCCGGTGCTCCAGCAATACCAGCAACGGCAGAAAGTATAGAGGTAGTAGCAATTGGAGGTGGTAGCTGTGATGATGATGATGATGATGATGATGATGTAGTTTGTCCGCTGGGTTGTTGCGTGGTATGAGCATTGGGAGGTCGAGATGAGCTCGCAGCTGGCTTCTTCTTTCTTGCGTGATAGTTCCTCTGTGTGAAGAGAAGTCAGTGATAAAGAAGAATTGTGAAAGAGAAAAAACGCACAGGCTTTCCCGCTGTGCGAGGGACCTCGAGCTCTTGCAACTAGTTGTCCGATCCATCTCGTCTGCGTAGTATACCAAATCCTAGGTTTCGAGTCCAGCTGAGAGATCGGGATTGGGTGTCTGGTTCAGTTGTCCCATGTGGCTTGAAGCGGCAACAGAAGGAGGGAAAGCGACTGAAGGTGCGTTGACGTGGTAATGGAGTGGGGCAGTTATGTGGCCCATGGGATTGGGATAGACGAATGCGCAACTGACAGCACATTTTTCGGAGCATGCTATAACATATGAGGATCGCGTACATTATCTTCTCGCAGGGCATCGTCAAAAAATCCTTGGGGTATTCAACGAACGCCTTTCATCTTTGGAACTGGGTGCCGTATAGCATCACCCTGAGGGAGCCATTGTCAACGTGGTTCAAAGGTCATTGAAGAAGAAATGTATCGAAGCTTACCGTATCTGGTGGAAGGCCAACCTCTTTGACGATAGCAGAAACATCCCATGTGTATATGTGGTTGGAGTCACGGCAGCTGGTGATGAGGAACTTTCCATCTGCAGAAAAGGTCGCAGACTTGACAATTTGTCCATGGTGAAGTGGTGTTCCGATGGGTCGGTTGGTTTCGAGGTTCCATAGTTGCACTGTCTTGTCCAGGTATGATGTGCTTGCGAGGATATGTTCATTGGAAGATGCTGAAATGAAATTGGAGAAGTGTTTACGCACATCAACAGTCCATGTGGCTGTGTTACCTTGTGCAGCAAAGTCAATTGGGGATGTAATGCGTCATTCCCCACTGACCTTGATGTGGTGCATGATATCTATGGTCCCCATAGATGTTCGACTCCAATAGATAGACCGAGTTCCTGGGCAGGAACAAATTGCTCTTGGGCTGGGATGAATTGATAGGGATGGGGAGGGGGAGAGAGTACGGATTGTGGAGGGAGACCGATTGGGGCGGTTGAGACATTGACATGGGTTTGCGTGCGTGTGAGGAAGGTATGCAGAACAAATTTGAATTTGCAGGAGATGTGAGGAAGGGTGATGGTTGTGGTTGGCCCAAGGATCGCTGTGAGTGAGATGCTAGTAGGACAGGTGGTGGATGTCTTCTGGGCGTCATACTAGGTGCAAGAGGTGTTGTTGAGGTTTGAGACATACTGTGGACGGGGGTTTGAGGTGGTGGTTGAGATACGGTAGGTTGAGGCACTGATGCTGGAACGATGGGTACTGAAGCGATGGTAGAAGACTCGGTGCCGGTTTGGGAGGTAGCATTTTGAAGGGTCTTTTGATTTACCTAGTGAGGGCAATACATATTAACGAGGAAATCACCGAGAACATAAGTACACGAGAAGAGGAAGAGGGACAGGCCCAGGTATAGTCGTCACCAGCTCAAAATACACCCGCGTCCTAGTAGACGAACATTGTAGACCCATCAACTAGGCATCGAGGCCCCGTCATCAATGTCTAGACCACGACTAGCACATTGAAAACAAACGTTTTATATCTACGGGGGAGCATATTTCGAAAGTACACAGAAGAGAAGGAAAACCAACCAGGATCAGAAACGGGACATAATAGAAACAAATAAAGCAACAAAACGACACTCACCTCCCTCCCCTAAAAAATACTGTATCCACCCTTGCATCAAGGCATCTTGCTGTGCCATCCCCTTTTGAAAATTGACCATCACGTCCCCGTACTGATGCTCCAACACCCTAATCTGCTCTTCAGCTCTCACGACTTGATTCCTCAAAGTCTCATTCATAGTGAATAGATTATCATTCTGAGCCTGTAAAGACGAGTGCGATGCCAGTAAAGAATCTGTCTGTCCTCGTAGCGTCTCATGGGATGATAAAAGCGTATCATGCGACGAGAACAGCGATTGGTATGAGTTTTGCAGGACGCCGATGTAGGATTGCACAGCTGCTAGTTCAGTGGTGCTAGTTTCGCCTGGGATGTAGTTGCCGGAGCTTGCTCCTCTGTCGCCATTGTGATCTCTGTTAGAGGAGGAAGGGAAGGATTTACGTGCTGCGGGGACTTTGCGCTTTATGTTTTCGAGGGCATCACGCCGGTCGGCATGGAAATCGGGGTGTCGGAATGTCCAGCTGTGTTCGCCGAATTGGGCGTCATTGGGTGTTTTGACCTGATGCGGAAAGATTAGTATATTGGATGACGGTGGAATGGAATAAAGTAGAGGAGGTAAGATAGGTATGGAGGTAGTAAGTACGGCCTGAAGGAATGTAAAGCGTTTGACGCTGCCTTTATGGAGATGAAGACGGAGCCAAGGAGATTCTGCTAGGTCACGATGGAATGCCAAGAACCCCCTGTGGTGAGGACGAATTACAGAAAGGAGTATATCTCAGCGGTCGCAATGCACCAAAAAATCGTGGCATCTGAGATAGACGTAGAAGTCTCGGATCGAACCGAAGATCGACGGGAAAGGCCGAGTGGAGGATGGGGGATTCCTGCGGTGCGGATCGCTGAGATAATAGAGAGAATTGGATTGCCTTTGATAGGCAATATGGGGGTATGCAAGAAGTTGCTTGATGGGGGATGATGGAGAACTTGAGGTGTAGTGGGAAGGGGAATAAAAGTAAAAGGAACGGTGTAAGGGGGAAAGGTGAAAGGACCGAAAGGAAGAATTTCGAGATCCGGAGTAAACTGGACTCACTTTATGAAAATCATATTTGTTGAGTTGTCTTATGAAGGAAGCAAAATTTGAATGCTTGAACATGCGTGGGAGGATAGATTTTGTAAATTCATTCATGTCCTGAGGGAAGAGCGAACGGAATATCGGTGAAAGTACTGATGATTGGAAGAGAATATGAACCTTTACGACAAAGCAGTCGCCTTGTGGGCCCCATGACACAACATGAGAGAAGGTATGATCTTCTAACATTCTGTAGGGGGAGTTGAAATGAGACTTGTGATGATGATGATGAAGGAAGAAGAGAAGATGTACTTGTATAGCCTTTTGACAAAATCGCTTGTTGCTGGCATAGTATCTTCTTGTTCTTTGAGTGGCGGGACTGAGTGAATCTGGTAAGTGGGTTCTCTCTTCATCTGCCTCATCTCTCGTTGGGCATGGATTGATACATCTTCTCTTGAATTTGAAGTGCGATGGATTGATGATGATGGACCCCAAGAGACTGGAGAAGGGTGGCGATAGGGCGAAGAGTTCATTGCAGCCATAGGGGGAAGAGTTGTGACCGATGCACGCTGAGGTAGATTTATAGCAGACAACTGAATTTGGGGTGGTGGTAGCTGATGTGAAGCAAATAAACGAACTGAAGAGTAAGGAGGACCTGTAGTAGTGGTGTGGTGGTCCATGTGCATGGCTGTATAGCGTATAGCAAGTGATTATTATCGCAAGGGTGTAAGGGCCAAAACCTAAACACAGGTAAACTCACGCTTTCAAGCAAGTTTGGCATCATGTCACCGGGCTAGCACTTTCATCTGACGATGCTCTCCTTGCTAGCGCTTCTGCAGACAAGACCATCAAACTGTGGGCTTTCGAGTCCCGCCAGCTCCTCACTTCCTTCCATGTTCAGCATATTTTTAGACTTGTCCTGTCACCCAACTCACGCCAACTAATAGCTTACACGACGCGCGCTGAAGATCATGACAAGATCTGCATCTGCGATACTCCCCCCAATGTCCTTGCTCAGGCCTGTGTACGCATTCTCCCTAAACTTGTACTGTTCGTGTGCTAACATTCCACTACAGAAAATTGCACACACAAAGTCGAACCTCGATCATTTACTCCATGTACGCATTTCATCCTCTCATAACACCACTCACTCATTGCTATCATTACAGTCTCATGCAACTCGTCCTCCTGCCGGATACTGCAGAACCCCAATATCCGCTATACCTATAGTGCAGAGACCTCTGCCTACAAGAGACCCGCAGCAACCCGCTTTCCGTCGACTTAGCAAACTCCTTCACTTCTCTCGCGCGAACACGGTCCCTGTTCGCCACATCCAACCTCGTGATCCCTTTGATGTATGTCATGACTCTTGTATCTCAGTTCTTTGACGGTTAACTCCAAAATGGCACAACAGCTCCCTGCTACATCGCCCCTACCATCCTCTCTCTCAGCTCAGCCCACAACTCGATTTGAACAGGTCAGTATTCAATTTACATACTCAATCGGATTGCATGACCGAGTATGTATCCAGTTTGAAATAGGTTCTCCACCTCCACCCTCGATCGGAGTCGTCCAATCCCTACAACAGCAACTTTCTTTCCTAGTGCCCAGACACAGCCATGGCCCACCAGTCGTCGAAGTCGCCCCAGGCCGTGCATTCACTGTAACGTATATTTTCTTATTTCTCAGCGTCTTTTTCTGATTTGTGCCCCATAGCGACTTGCTGCTGCTAAACTACCAGAATACAAGAAAGTAGACGACACTCGACATCCTTCTAGCCAACAGGGTGCCGTGCTCCAGGAAAAAAACACTGCTGACGTCGATTCGCTACCAGACGTACATCGGTGCAAAGCGTTCATCTGCTTTTGTTCTTGTTGGTCGCATGGCAGACTGAGGATGCCCCCTCGATGGCGCTTGGAGTGCGATGACATACCTCCCCAGGATGGTGCAGCAAATAGTAGCACTGGTGGTGCTCACAGCAGTTAACTTCATATACAGTCATCCCACTACCAGTGTATCCTTCGTTACTGATGATCTTACACTTATCCATCAATTCTATGCCATCTGTGATACTCAGTGTCTCTTTAAGATCCCACCCCACATGACCATGTATGAGTCGTGTTGTAATCCTTACACGTGCGCTCGTTCAATGCTGATCTGGTCGAGATTGAAATGACATCAATCTACACCATCATGGACTCAGGTGAGACTTTTGTCTCCGTCAGTATTCGGATGTCTAACAATTGCTCTCTCACAGACACACAAGGCCATCATCCAAATTGACCTTCTCCCCTTTCTGCTTCCAATCGCTTCACCTGTTTAGACCTCCAACTCCATACAGTGTTTGTGGTATTCGTTCGGAACTCAGCACACTACGAACTTTGCGCGATCTAAGAAATATTGAGCCTGAGCATGCGACTTGGACGACAAGGTTGCCTGGATTTGAGCGAGACGGCTCGCTCTCAGATCATCGGGCCTTCACAGACACTGGCTTAAAATACTCTCTTTTCTCCGATGCTCTTGGAATCGACTCAATCCCGAGTTCCGCATACCCGATAATCTCCTCTAATCGATATCGATCTCCGCTTCGCCAGCAAGGACGACCTCTTTCTTCCTTGAAGTCGACCACTTAAAGCTCTTGCAGTCCCTTTGAGTTCTGATTGCGCTCTCTCAAGTTTCACGTTGGATATTTCCTTCGCCGACACGATCGTTAACCATCGATGAGTCTACATTTGTCGATGGACCTTGCACTGGCTTCGATCGCATATCAAAATGCCTATGCTCAAGTCCAGTGGATCAGCCTTGTTACATCGTATGGTCCAATGTTTTGTTCTTGGGTTCGCCTATTTTCTGAGGGTCGTTCGAGTTGATCCGACCGAACGTTGCACCTCGATTTGGTCTAGCACTCTGCCAATGATGTCCTCTTCCTATGACCACTTCTATGCGCCCAACTGAAGGCTGTTGGATTTTGTCATCTTATCATGGCTTACCTGCACCTCGCACTTCAACATTTTCTATAGTACTCGATGTCATGGTTCAGGTCCGCGAACTTGGTACGTTCCTGCATGCGTCTCAGATCCGCCTAAATTCATTTTCACAAGGCCAGGCTTGGTTCGACTATGAAGAGCATCTCTATTCCGGCTATCCTTCATCTCTCGTGCGACCCACCACATGCTAGTCGAAAGGTTCGTTTTGGCGTTAATGAGCTGGGTGACTTTATATCAGCAGGGAACTCTGCTCTCCAGCGCCAGCAAATTCTTCGACACCGACATGCAGTCCATCATCTCCATCTGGTTAGCAGCCCCGCAAGTATGCTTTTGTTCAGCAGTTTTCCTATGCACTAAAACTTCCCTCTGACTGGCTTAGCGAGGGAGGAGGAGGTAATCCACCCATAACTTTTTGTATCGCATTTTCTGACCTCGACATTTTGTCATCCTACTCTACAGTCTTACAGCTAGCTCCCGCGCTATTTACTTCGTCTCCCGGCTCAAAACTGCCCCAGCTATACTCAAAATTCGCACCCTGGGTGACTTAGGAGGGGAGGAGGAGGTAATCCACCCTTAACTCTTTTGCATCGCACTTTCTGACCTCGGCCTTTAGTCGTCCTACTCTACAGTCTTACAGCTAGCTCCCGCACTATTAATTTTGTCTCCCAGCTCAAAACTGCCCAAGTTATACCCGAAATTCTCACTCTGGGTGGCCTATAGGAGGAGGAGAAGGTAATCCAGCTATATGTTTTTTTTCTGTTGCACCAACTGATCTCAATTTTTTTTCATTCTATTCTGTAGATGTACAGGTACCTCCCGCTTTAATTAGTTCGTCTCCCGGCTCAAAACTGATTGAGCTATGTCTGAAAACATCACCCTAGGTGAATTCATACTCACTGCATTGACTTATGTCAATGATACCCTTCATTGTGCACACGATTTTGCTTGTATATAGCTCAAATTCAATATATTTTGTTTATATAACAATTACATGACACTAAGAGATGGAGACGGCACTGCGCGACACAGATGGCAATAAGCGGCAGTCAGAGATGCACGGAAGCGAGAGATGGTTATCACTAAGAGACAAAGAGACGAGGCGAGAGCATATAGCGAGGGAGGTGACGAGAGGTAGCGAGAGACGAGGCAAGAGCATACAGTAAGGGAGGTAACGAGAGAGGCGGAACAAAGTGCAGCGTGGTGAGTGAGACAAGCTAGCGCGGCGAGTCGAAAGAGATGATGACCTAGGATGACAGGACGCACAGTAAACAAGACAGAAAAAGACTACTCACCATTCAAAAGCAAGCCTTCCATGGGAAGATAGGTACCCTCCTCTCTTGGCCCACTCCCGCTGTTGATGTTCAGAGCGAGTAGGTCCATCTCGAGTTTCTCGCATAGGGCGTGTTGCTTTGCGAGTTTTGCATGCGTGTCTGCGAGTTCATCCTGTATGAAGTCTCAGCGTCTGGTGTTCACTTCGAAGATCTTGAAAATAGCTACTTACAGTTGACCAAGTATCGTTGCCTGACAATGACCATGCGGCGATGTACGTGCTCATGGGAGCAACTATGCTATATATATTGCCCGTCTACAGGCCTACAAACGCCTGAACAGAGATATAGTCGCACCGCATCCCGGACGTGCAAGATTACCCATCGCCCATGCATCCGACCACTAAATCAATCCATTAATTAGTACTACAAATCCCGGACTGCTCCTGCTGAGAGGCATGCTCAACGTCGCAGTCACTCACATAACCTTGTTGTTATCTGGGCGGGGCCATACCGCTCCTGATCGCCGGTACTCCCATACTTGATGTTTGCGGCTTCCCAGAAGGGATCATCCCCAGGCCAAAAAGTGCGGTTGGCTGTATTGAAATCGTCCGAAAAGACCAGTTCATAAGGGAGGCCATCAAATCCTGATCGTGCTGCAGCACTACCGGGCATATCAGGATCGATGAGCTGCGCCATTTGGAATCTGGGCAGAAATACTGTCAGTCAGATAGTCCATATCATGCGAAAGAAAATAGAACAGCAGAAAAATAGTGAAGTGGTAGAACGCACAGAAACGAAATCTGGCCGGTTCCATTGAGGAGTATGTTGCCTGCGCTTAGGTTATTGCATGCCAAGAAACCCAGTCTGAAAGACCGTGGGAAGCTCTGCCATATGCGCATGGCAAATTCCGACTATCCTCGCAGACTGATGCGGTGGCAGGGCCAAACCAGGGCAGGGCATAGTACAAGGTTGCGAATGGTGCTCGCAGCTCTACCCTCCTCACTTAGTAACTGCCTTTGGTGTAGCCGGGTGGCGAATGGTGTAAATAGGTGGAGCTCGCACTGCAAAAATCGCGCTTCGTATTCTCTACCCAGGCCCCGATTGTACTGGTTTTTGCCCAGGTAGCCAAGCTGACCTTGCTTGGCATAATAAAGTCTACCTTATTTCCGCCTTCAAACTAATCATTTTTCTCTGGCAGAGATAACCATCTCAGGCGTCAAATACTGCCCTCATACGCGCTATATTCAAACCTGCCCCCTCAAACGACTTTTCAGGTCTCTGCGCCGAGTGCAGCATGCGCAGCGGTTACAAAGTCTTCCTCGCTATCACGCAGATATTTCTTTTACAGCCAAATAATGTGAGGAGTAGTTCCAAATTATTTGAGCCCACCGCCTCACATCTTTGTAGCAGGGACCCGGCTCTCCGATCTCGGTCTACAATTTACCGGATCAATTTGACAGCGCTCTAACCTTAGTCTGGGCTGATGGAGCCAATGGTAATGGAACACCCTCTGCGGAACGTGCTGAATACTGCCAGAATAGTGCGCGCCGCTGCTCAAAAGGATCCGCTACGCCTCGCAGTCCTGATCCGTTATCCCGCCGGGCGTTGCGGAGGACTTTGACACCCGTTCGCCTTGACCGGACCATCGTGTTCACCACTCATTTCTTGGACGAAGCTGATCTGTTGGCCGATAACATAGCCATTTTGGCTGCGCCCGGCTAGCTGGTAGCCGAGGGCAATCCCGTTGCTCTCAAGTCAAACCTTGGGCAGGGATACAGCGTCCAAGTCGTGTTCAACTCCTTGATTTGGCTGAGAAGGACCTTCCAAAAGTATTCTCCGAAACTTTGGATCGTATTCGCGAAGTTGGTCCCCAGCGTTATATGTCACTCTCCTCACCGAGCCAGGCATCATACCACCTCAAGCCAATGGATCCTGCTGTTGTGGAGAAGGTCCTCCAGCTGCTGGATCAGAAGTGCGATGCTCTTTGCGCCGCGCCCTGTGATGTGCTTGGGACATCCGTTGAAGATATCTTCCTGAATCTCACGGCCCACCAAACTGGTAGCGTCTCCCTAGATAGCGCTGAGAGGTCCATTTCAAGTTCAGGTGAGCCTTCACTTGACGTTCGGTGGGATATCAATAGACATGCTCACGGGTGATTCGTTGTTTGCGCGGCAGGCGGCCCTGCCCAGCTTAGCTGGTCCGACTATGATGAACCTGGCAACAAATACTTTATAATCGGGCATCAAACACTTCTGGGGACATTGAACACCCGCCGAACCTCATTTACGCGAGCTATGCTGCTTTCCTTCATCTTGCTTCGGGGACTCTGGTTGATCTCAAGTGGGCGGCATTCTTTGGGGCTGCTATGGTACGCGCTGAGCAAAAATTCCACATCTATAGGATCGCGCGCTAATATCTTGTTTAGTTTGGCTTTCCCGTTCCATCATGCGATTTGGAGGTCCCATCCTCTACCTCTTGGTTTATGGCTTTGTGCTGTTCGGTATTCTCTTATGGGTTGATTAGCTAATCATCTAACTCGAATTGGTGAGAAGGTGCGACTCTTCTACGCTAAGTGATACAGACACTGAATATTATTATGCATAAAGGAAGGCGCAGTCGCAGCGCAAAAACTTGACCTTAAGACAACACCTCACTGAATCTGTATTCAATCAACACCCTCCCTCGTACGTCAAACGTAGCGTTAGAAACTGGATAGCGGGCTGAATCTCGTGGTTAACATTTCGCAGCACCATCGCAGTGGCTCATTCTGTACTGGCGGCGGAGCTGTGCTGCAGGAATTGATGACCAAAAGCTATATCCGTGGCAATATCTCCATGTATACCCCTGATATCGAAGCGACCTTGTCCAAGGGGCTGAAATACCATTGGGCTCTTGCTTGACCTAGAGCGGGTTGTCGTTGTCTTGCAGGCGCGAAGATCGTTGGTAAGTCAACAATTCTATTTCATCCAAGTTCATGACAATAGAAGCGTGCAACGGATTCCTAAGCGCAATACAGTTTCAGGATGATATATAGAGCAGTTGCTTGTTGCTGGCCGCCGAACGTTTGAAGCAGATCTCGACGAGGATCCTTGATATACCTATCAGTCAGTGGTGCTCTTATAATAACTGCCATGAGTCTCACTTGCAGTCCCGCTCATACACAGATATGCTCCGCCAATCCACGACAGGAAGGAAACGCTGCCAACTGTGACGGCTGACACTATCTGCTGGACTTTTACACGCATGGTGCATCCGCGGGACTGACATAGTACTAGGCACTATATGTTGAAGTCCTAACGCCTAACTTTGGAGGAGGCTGATGTGTTGGGGAATAAGTCGAGAGGTTTGGGTCCGGGAGATGAAGGGATTAGCGCGGGAGCAAGCTGTGAGTCTATAGATTACAATGACAAAAGGTCGAGGTCAGGAAGTGCGAGCAAACTAAAGTTATGGGCGGACCTTCTCCTCCTCCCCCTCTAAACCACCCAGACCGAAGTTTAAGGCACAAGTCGCGCAGTTTTGACCCGGGAAGCAAAAAAAGTGGTGCGGGAGCGAGCTGTGGGTCTGTAGAGTACGATTACAAAAGGTCGAGGTCAGGAAGTGCGAGCCAAAAAAAGTTATGGGCGGACCTTCTCCTCCTCCCCCTCTAAACCACCCAGACCGAAGTTTAAGGCATAAGTCGCGCAGTTTTGACCCGGGAAGCAAAAAAAAGTGGTGCGGGAGCGAGCTGTGGGTCTGTAGAGTACGATGACAAAAGGTTGAGGTCAGGAAGTGCGAGCAAAAAAAGATGTGGGTGGATTACCTCCCCCTCCCCCTCTAAGCCACCCAGATTAAAGTCCCCGGGTATAGGCTTATGCAAGCAACACCGCCACCACGGCACGCGACACCCAAACTGAGGAGGACGCGACCCCAGGCAGTTGCAGGAACCAGCTCGGCAACGGAGAAAAAAGGACCGTGGGAGGAGACGCGTGATCGACGTCGTAGACGGAAGAAAGAATGGGCTGTTTCTGAGCCGCTGAAGAGCTCGAGCCACCGCTGGGCGAGGTGAAGGGATGGGTTAGTGACCAGGTGAGCCAAAGTCCAACGCATCCAGGAAGATGCCGAACTGACTGCAAATTTCCCACATCAGACCGTCAATCTACCGTCTGGACGGAGCTGAGGTTTTGGTGAGTACCTGTCTTTTCCTCCGTGAAAAAAACGACCGTCGGGCTGATGGACTGTAAATTGACAGTCCTCAGCTTTGCAGTCATGGCGGCTGCAGCATAGCCACTCGATTGATAATACAGGTACGCATGGGTGCGCCCCTGTAAGCGTCACCCCATCTAACTAGGTTGACTACCACAGCGTCCTTCTCTTTATTTCTCCTGGTCTCACGAGGCGACCTGTCTTTACAAAACTTAAGCCGGCTACTGCATTTTTCCTCTCTCTGCATCTTACTTGTCGCATCTTTGGTTCTCCATGTCACTCAGCTGAATTCTCAACGACGAACCACCCCCGGCGAGAAAATCTGTATCCTCACGTGGTGGTGGCATCAATCCTTCGTTAGCAGACGTCTCGCTTCTCTCCCGAGCCACAGTCCTGTCTCCTCATTCCCAAACTCTTCGTCGGAGTATAAACTCCTTCGGAGAGCAGCCACCACTTCCTCGTGGATATTCTTACTAGACACCCTCTGATCAGGGTGCCAAAAGTTGGGATCCATATTCAGGTGACTATGTTCAAGGAGAGATCTTTCCTCTTGGCCCAGGAGGTAATCATTATTCTCAGCGTGAACGGGATGGACAGCACCAGCCTCCACCTCCAGAACCACGCGCATCTTCCACGGGCGCTTACTACAAGGAGGGCGAAAACGAACCCACATCACGAAAAAGGAGAAAGGCTGTGGTTCCAGACGACGACTCTGATTACAATCCTCCGATTGTAAAGCGAGAGGTTGACACCTCCACGTTCTTTCAAAGTGTTGATGAGGCCATATGCATTTGAAATTGCGGAGAGGTACTCTCCGGTTTATAGACGAGGTTCTTCGAGGCCGACCGTATCAAACACCTTGTATCGAGACCCATCTTCGAAGGTTATTTGGTACTCCGTCCAATGCAGAGTACAGCGGTGAGAGTCGGGCGATATGTGTGCAATCGCTTGGCCAGCTAACAGGTTAATGACAGAGCTTTTGCCCGCTCCTGTTTCTCCAAAGATAACGACGTTTCGAGTCGACACTGGCGCCATCTTATGTTCGACTCGCAGTCAGCAATATTCGACCCTTCAAGTTGGATATAGCGCTACTCGTACCTGTACACTGGTTATTCTGCGCTGCGTGGTACAATGGCAATTGCCCCAAAATGATACTGTTTGTAACAGGTATATATGATGCGAAAGGTGTTGTAACCACGCGCCTTCGGTACGTTTTCATAATAGTTTTACATCACCCTTTTGTCTCAAATTTGAAACACTCACAGGGGAGACACCCGGCTTCTGTTAGCCAGCTTCCTTGATCGATCTTTCGGCTACTCGGAGTCGACGGCGACACTCGATATTTGCAATAGAACTACAGCGAATGCCAGGGTCTAGACAGGCATGCATAAGGCATGCCTACCATACGATTCCGAAGGGGGAATCTGACTATTTCGATGCTCGCCACGTTTTGATATCGAAGTCTTCATGTATTCTTACATCGGATACTCCCGCAGTGCAGCCCTCATAGCCATGGTACAGGGTGCAACACGTTGGTTCTGGCCGAAAGCGCTCGCCACGGAGCCAATTACTTAAACGCCCAGTAGCCGTTATCCATCTCTTTACGATCGCACGCAAAGTAAGCTTGTGCCAATCTCTTTTTGCAAAGCTAATTGGGTCTCTCAGAGAAGATGTCTGATAGCCACGACTCCACAGACACGATAGGGAATAAATATTCACAGCAGGTTCGTAATCTGCTCCATCGGTCAATCCAGTATGCAACTGATGTCTCTTGTAGGGACATCAAGGTCGGCCGCGTAACGTGGTACTCTATGGGGAGAGTGGGGTAGGCAAAAGCTCGCTCATAAACCTTATCATGGGTCGTGATGCAGCGAAAACATCTCCTGATGCCCTCGCATGTACTACTACACATGCTCCATATGATGCGACGATCAGCGGGCAACACTTCAGGCTGTGGGATACAGCAGGTATGTATTCTTTCATGCTCAAGGTTTTGGCCCAGAGCGGCTCAATGATCGTGTCTTCAGGGTTTAATGAGGGCTCAGAAGGCACAGTGCCTGCGGTGATGGCTGAAAGAAACTTGACTGCGTTCCTCCGAGGTCTTAACCAGGAAGATGGTGTCCATCTTCTTATATACTGTGTGCGCGGAACGCGAGCAACAAAGGCTCTGTAGACTCACTACAAGATATTCTCGGCAGTTATCCGTGATAGCAAAGTGCCCACGATTATTGTGGTGACGTGCCTGGAAGACTTCCGTCCTGTGATGGCAGAGTGGTGGAACGAGAACAAGGACGAGCTTGCAACGTATGGAATGCAATTCTCTGGATATGCTTGCGTCACCACTTTGAAGGATGAACCCACAGAGTCCCCGGATATTCACCAACGTCATGCACAGTCCTACAATGATGTCTGCAGAAGCATTCTAGACCATTGTTCGCAAACTCCTCACAAAACGTGGGGCACTGAAGATCAGCGAAGCTTCCTCGCGATTTTGCTGCAGAAGTTAGCTCGTTTTGTTGGAGGAGCTCACCGTGACCAGGATGCCTTAAAAGCATCTTTGTCGTAGCTAATTCTTGTACAAACGATTTCTGTGATCAAACTTCTATCACTTACCCAATTCTCTCGTACTTAGCATCACGAAATGCCTGCATGACTCTCGGATGGTACCCGACTAGCAGGATTCAAGTAATCACCGCTGTTACTGTTGTAGACTGGTGGTCGCGGTGAAATCTGGAAGAGCATCATGTAGGTCATATTTATGTAAGGGAGATGATTTCGGGCCATTCTGCCGAATCAATAAACTATTGTAAAAGTCTGGAGCGATCCAAAGACGAGCCTAGATCGCGCATTCGAAGCAGGCCTCCATATCGAATTTCAGCCGGCGCTCGACATCGATTCTTGCTGCCTCACCTCAAGCTACAGCATAATCATAATTACGATTCATGCTAATGCTGCTGAAACCAGGATCGACTGAAACCTGTCCTACCGCGTGTCACAAGCCCAATTACCGTCTTTGATAGATCTAGCGGTTTCTTGCTAGCCTGAGCATGTTGAAGATGGTACTTGGTATCCGCTGTAGTACTAGGCTCTCGCACTGAACCGTCATGACAGCCCCCAGTGAAGGAAATTGAGAGGCACCCTCGGGTTTTATTATCAGTATTCATTGAAAGTATTATCTCTAACTTCACTAATGTCAGTCGCGGAGAGCCTTTTACTATTGCCCTGGCCGTCTGATCTCTTGTGAAGTTTCAGGCCTCGAGCCCCACTCCATTCCCAAACGACATGCCGCATTGGACCGAACTTGTTGCAGAGAAGAAGCAGAGGCAGCTCAAGTCCATTCTACAAGAATGGCTTGTGTCCCCTCCTCTAGACTCTACTCGAAGACCATTGCACCACCAAGAACTGCATTCCAGAAAGCGGGGCCGACTTCCCCGGCGGTGTTGTCAACACGTGTCGTGGATCCACAAGGGAAAAGAGGTGCACGAGGAGAGATGGATCCGAGTGCGTGGGTGATAGGTATGGTGGCGAATATTGATTATGAGACGAGTTAGACACAGGTGCGGGGGAAAGAGAGTTAAATTGAGTGTGCGCGTGCCACGCGTCTTCTATCCTTCAGGACCGATGCGGAGCAGGACGACGGAGACCAAAGAAAAATCCGCAGCAGCTCACTCCTGCATACACAAAGTCTTCCGCTCCATCAGTCGAGACTGGTGCTTCTGTTTGGATTGGTGCTTGAGATGGTCGTGCCCCAGTTGGTTGACCTAATTGTGTTGAACTGTCGGCCTGGTTACTATTCGTACGTTGCATAGCTGCGGCCGCTTCCGCATCAGATTCGGGAACAATACCAATTCTCTGCAGTGGTTTAATGGGAGGAAAGAGGAGGAAAGGCGAGCCACCCACATTTTCATCTTGAGCAAGAGGTACATCGACGGTGCACATGGAATGTCCTCCAGAAAACAACTTGAAGTTGATATTCCAGTGTCGGGACTGTCGTTCGAATGGTTGGGATGCATTTAGAGGTCGTGTGCCGAAATGTGTAGAACTGAGCAAATGACGCCAACGGATAAGGGACGACGAGTTTGCGGGAGGAGCTGCACGACGAGACGCGTGGTCTGATTCGTTGCCAAAGAAATCATTGCCCTGTATCTTGATGTCAGGCGAGGAAAGGCCAAGAACGAGAAAGTATAATGCTAGTCCTGTTTTTTTTTGGCCTGCTAATTAGACGCAAGGCGGGGGTCAAAGGTCTGACGAGACATATGAGAAAAGGTAGGATTGCTCACGATTAATGGGCGTACAACTCTCTGTTGGGCTGGACGTCCCTAGTACAAAGTGAGATGTATTGTGAAAGAGAAGCAGAGAAGACTTGCCTTGAGCTTTGCATTGCCATCATCTGCGCCCTAGATGGCCAAAACCGTTAGGAAGAAAAAAATTAGACAACAAAGCGCATACGCACCACAACATTTTTGAGCGCTGCCTCCAGAATCCATACATAGATTTTTTTTCTATTCCAGCGCTGACTATGTAATTTCCATCGGGAGACATGACAACAGCGAAGAGTTGGTCTTCATGCAAGAGTGGATCTCCGACTCGCTGCCTGATTGGTCTTCAGATCCCAGATTCGGACGGAGCAGTCACTTGATGCGCTATTCCCATGTAGTATGATGCGCGCTTATGTAGTAAAGAAAATCGAAGCATAATACGTGATCGTCCGGAGGAAGGGAAACCTGGTGCAAAGGAGAAGGACGATTCGTTGAAGATAATTCGAGGCTGTTTGAGCGACTTTCTGGAAACCCGAGTGATGCGAGAGACCAAAAGGATGCATGATCAATGATTGTGGTGCACGTTAGGAGATGCCATGGCCCATCAGCTCGACCCAAGCTGGGGTTCGCGTCCACAAGACATCTGTGCATGGCCATCACAGATGGATGTGGTCTTGTGGACGCGAACCCAGCTTGGTCGAGCTGATGGGCCATGGCATCTCCTAACGTGCACCACAATCATTGATCATGCATCCTTTTGGTCTCTCGCATCACTCGGGTTTCCAGAAAGTCGCTCAAACAGCCTCGAATTATCTTCAACGAATCGTCCTTCTCCTTTGCACCAGGTTTCCCTTCCTCCGGACGATCACGTATTATGCTTCGATTTTCTTTACTACATAAGCGCGCATCATACTACATGGGAATAGCGCATCAAGTGACTGCTCCGTCCGAATCTGGGATCTGAAGACCAATCAGGCAGCGAGTCGGAGATCCACTCTTGCATGAAGACCAACTCTTCGCTGTTGTCATGTCTCCCGATGGAAATTACATAGTCAGCGCTGGAATAGAAAAAAAATCTATGTATGGATTCTGGAGGCAGCGCTCAAAAATGTTGTGGTGCGTATGCGCTTTGTTGTCTAATTTTTTTCTTCCTAACGGTTTTGGCCATCTAGGGCGCAGATGATGGCAATGCAAAGCTCAAGGCAAGTCTTCTCTGCTTCTCTTTCACAATACATCTCACTTTGTACTAGGGACGTCCAGCCCAACAGAGAGTTGTACGCCCATTAATCGTGAGCAATCCTACCTTTTCTCATATGTCTCGTCAGACCTTTGACCCCCGCCTTGCGTCTAATTAGCAGGCCAAAAAAAAACAGGACTAGCATTATACTTTCTCGTTCTTGGCCTTTCCTCGCCTGACATCAAGATACAGGGCAATGATTTCTTTGGCAACGAATCAGACCACGCGTCTCGTCGTGCAGCTCCTCCCGCAAACTCGTCGTCCCTTATCCGTTGGCGTCATTTGCTCAGTTCTACACATTTCGGCACACGACCTCTAAATGCATCCCAACCATTCGAACGACAGTCCCGACACTGGAATATCAACTTCAAGTTGTTTTCTGGAGGACATTCCATGTGCACCGTCGATGTACCTCTTGCTCAAGATGAAAATGTGGGTGGCTCGCCTTTCCTCCTCTTTCCTCCCATTAAACCACTGCAGAGAATTGGTATTGTTCCCGAATCTGATGCGGAAGCGGCCGCAGCTATGCAACGTACGAATAGTAACCAGGCCGACAGTTCAACACAATTAGGTCAACCAACTGGGGCACGACCATCTCAAGCACCAATCCAAACAGAAGCACCAGTCTCGACTGATGGAGCGGAAGACTTTGTGTATGCAGGAGTGAGCTGCTGCGGATTTTTCTTTGGTCTCCGTCGTCCTGCTCCGCATCGGTCCTGAAGGATAGAAGACGCGTGGCACGCGCACACTCAATTTAACTCTCTTTCCCCCGCACCTGTGTCTAACTCGTCTCATAATCAATATTCGCCACCATACCTATCACCCACGCACTCGGATCCATCTCTCCTCGTGCACCTCTTTTCCCTTGTGGATCCACGACACGTGTTGACAACACCGCCGGGGAAGTCGGCCCGCTTTCTGGACTGCAGTTCTTGGTGTGCAATGGTTTCGAGTAGAGTCCTAGAGGAGGGGACACAAGCCATTTCTTGTAGAATGGACTTGAGCTGCCTCTGCTTCTTCTCTGCAACAAGTTCGGTCCAATGCGGCATGTCGTTTGGGGAATGGAGTGGGGCTCGAGGCCTGAAACTCACAAGAGATCAGACGGCCAGGGCAATAGTAAAAGGCTCTCCGCGACTGACATTAGTGAAGTTAGAGAAATACTTTCAATGAATACTGATATAAAACCCGAGGGTGCCTCTCAATTTCCTTCACTGGGGGCTGTCATGACGGTCTCAGTGCGAGAGCTAGTACTACAGCGGATACCAAGTACCATCTTCAACCATGCTCGGCTAGCAAGAAACCGCTAGATCTACTCAAAGACGGTAATGGGCTTGTGACACGCGGGTAGGACAGGTTTCAGTCGATCCTGGTTTCAGCAGCAGTAGCAGGAATCGTAATTATGATTATGCTGTAGCTTGAGGTGATGCAGCAAGAATCGATGTCGAGCGCCGGCTGAAATTCGATATGGAGGCCTGCTTCGAATGCGCGATCTAGGCTCGTCTTTGGATCGCTCCAGACTTTTACAATAGTTTATTGATTCGGCAGAATGGCCCGAAATCATCTCCCTTACATAAATATGACCTACATGATGCTCTTCCAGATTTCACCGCGACCACCAGTCTACAACAGTAACAGCGGTGATTACTTGAATCCTGCTAGTCGGGTACCATCCGAGAGTCTGCAGGCATTTCGTGATGCTAAGTACGAGAGAATTGGGTAAGTGATAGAAGTTTGATCACAGAAATCGTTTGTACAAGAATTAGCTACGACAAAGATGCTTTTAAGGCATCCTGGTCACGGTGAGCTCCTCCAACAAAACGAGCTACTTCTGCAGCAAAATCGCGAGGAAGCTTCGCTGATCTTCAGTGCCCCACGTTTGTGAGGAGTTTGCGAACAATGGTCTAGAATGCTTCTGCAGACATCATTGTAGGACTGTGCATGACGTTGGTGAATATCCGGGGACTCTGTGGGTTCATCCTTCAAAGTGGTTGACGCAAGCATATCCAGAGAATTGCATTCCATACGTTGCAAGCTCGTCCTTGTTCTCGTTCCACCACTCTGCCATCACAGGACGGAAGTCTTCCAGGCACGTCACCACAATATCGTGGGCACTTTGCTATCACGGATAACTGCCGAGAATATCTTGTAGTGAGTCTACAGAGCCTTTGTTGCTCGCGTTTCCGCGCACACAGTATATAAGAAGATGGACACCATCTTCCTGGTTAAGACCTCGGAGGAACGCAGTCAAGTTTCTTTCAGCCATCACCGCAGGCACGGTGCCTTCTGAGCCCTCATTAAACCCTGAAGACACGATCATTGAGCCGCTCTGGGCCAAAACCTTGAGCATGAAAGAGACATACCTGCTGTATCCCACAGCCTGAAGTGTTGCCCGTGATCGTCGCATCATATGGAGCATGTGTAGTAGTACATGCGAGGGCATCAGGAGATGTTTTCGCTGCATCACGACCCATGATAAGGTTTATGAGCGAGCTTTTGCCTACCCCACTCTCCCCATAGAGTACCACGTTACGCGGCCGACCTTGATGTCCCTACAAGAGACATCAGTTGCATACTGGATTGACCGATGGAGCAGATTACGAACCTGCTGTGAATATTTATCCCTATCGTGTCTGTGGAGTCGTGGCTATCAGACATCTTCTCTGAGAGACCCATTAGCTTTGCAAAAAGAGATTGGCACAAGCTTACTTGCAGTGCGATCGTAAAGAGATGGATAACGGTACTGGGCGTTTAAGTAATTGGCTCCGTGGCGAGCGCTTTTCGGCCAGAACAACGTGTTGCACCCTGTACCATGGCTATGAGGGCTGCACTGCGGGAGTATCCGATGTAAGAATACATGAAGACTTCGATATCAAACGTGGCGAGCATCGAAATAGGTCAGATTCACCTTCGGAATCGTATGGTAGGCATGCCTTATGCATGCCTGTCTAGACCCTGGCATTCGCTGTAGTTCTATTGCAAATATCGAGTGTTCGCGTCGACTCCGAGAGTAGCCGAAAGATCGATAAGGAAGCTGCGCTAACAGAAGCCGGGTGTCTCCCCCTGTGAGTGTTTCAAATTTGAGACAAAAGGGTGATGTAAAACTATTATGACAACGTACCGAAGGCGCGTGGTTACAAACCTCTTCGCATCATATATACCTGTACAAACAGTATCATTTTGGGGCAATTGCCATTGTACCACGCAGCGCAGAATAAACAGTGTACAGGTACGAGTAGCGCTATATCCACTTGAAGGGTCGAATATTGCTGACTGCGAGTCGAACATAAGATGGCGCCAGTGTCGCTCGAAACGTCGTTATCTTGGAGAAACAGGAGCGGGCAAAAGCTCTGTCATTAACCTGTTAGCTGGCCAAGCGATTGCACACATATCGCCCGACTCTCACCGCTGTACTCTGCATTGGCCGGAGTACCAAATAACCTTCGAAGATGGGGTCTCGATACAAGGTGTTGATACGGTCGCCTCGAAGAACCTCGTCTATAAACGTGAGAGTACCTCTCCGCAATTTCAAATGCATATGCCTCATCAACCACTTTGAAGAAACGTGGAGGTGTCAACCTCTCGCTTTACAATCGAGGATTGTAATCAGAGTCCGTCGTCTGGAACCACAGCCTTTCTCCTTTTTCGTGATGTGGGGTTCGTTTTCGCCCTCCTTGTAGTAAGCGCCCGTGGAAGATGCGCGTGTTCTGGAGGTGGAGGCTGGTGCTGTCCATCCCGTTCACGCTGAGATAATGATTACCTCCTGGGCCCAAGAGGAAAGATCTCTCCTTGAACATAGTCACCTGAATATGGATCCCAACTTTTGGCACCCTGATCAGAGGGCGTCTAGTAAGAATATCCACGAGGAAGTGGTGGCTGCTCTCCGAGGAGTTTATACTCCGACGAAGAGTTTGGGAATGAGGAGACAGGACTGTGGCTCGGGAGAGAAGCGAGACGTCTGCTAACGAAGGATTGATGCCACCACCACGTGAGGATACAGATTTTCTCGCCGGGGGTGGTTCGTCGTTGAGAATTCAGCTGAGTGACATGGAGAACCAAAGATGCGACAAGTAAGATGCAGAGAGAGGAAAAATGCAGTAGCCGGCTTAAGTTTTGTAAAGACAGGTCGCCTCGTGAGACCAGGAGAAATAAAGAGAAGGACGCTGTGGTAGTCAACCTAGTTAGATGGGGTGACGCTTACAGGGGCGCACCCATGCGTACCTGTATTATCAATCGAGTGGCTATGCTGCAGCCGCCATGACTGCAAAGCTGAGGACTGTCAATTTACAGTCCATCAGCCCGACGGTCGTTTTTTTCACGGAGGAAAAGACAGGTACTCAAAACCTCAGCTCCGTCCAGGGAGATTGACGGTCTGATGTGGG